TCAAGCCGGCCACCGAGCGGAGCGGGTCGCCTAAATTTCCTCATCCTTCGGCGGGCACTAATATCAGCAGTCTATGCATCAGTTTTTTTTTCTCTTCTTTCTTTTTTCTTCCCCTTCCCTAATATTACCTTGTTTGGTCTGGGGTTGGGAGTCTTGGCATTTCCGACTGTGAACCTCTTTATTCTTCCATCCCCGGATTTTCCCATTTCCCAGATCTGCACTAAATATTAATCGCGCTGCAATTTGCTTGGGAGTCGGCTACCACCGCGGACGGAGAATTCTTCCGAAGGGAGATTAGCTGTTCTTGATGGCTGGGAAACTGATCTCGGCTCCTTCCCGTCCGATGGCTGAAGGCTCAATGTTCTCGAATTATTAAAATCAAAATTCAAGCCTCGTGTTATGCCTCGGGGAATGCCCCTCCTCTGAGAAAGGTACGCGAGGAGCGTGACACTCCGGTCCTTCATCAGGTCCACCCGTCCGTTTTTGTCGTGGTTCCTTGTCTAACCTTGCTTCAACGTTGACCCCGGCGCCGGAATAATAAGAGGGGAGGGGCACGCGATGAGATCAATTGTGATATAGGTACAGAGCAGGGAAAGTGCGTCCCTTTGCAGACCGAGGTACGGCGCATTTGAAACAGTGCCTGCGTCCGTCGTGGTAACGGTGGTGGGAGCGCCTAGGAGTTCGGTGTTCGGTTGGAGGCGAGATGGCCAGCCAAGTCACTCGCGTTGTCATTTTGTTTGCTCATCGCCCTTGATATTGATCCGTGTACATGGCCTTGCTGGGTCAACCGTGATATCATTTGACGTCTGACGAGGACAAACCGCCGCTCCGAGCCCCACGTTGGCCTGATACATCAATCGATGTATCGTCGGCTCTATTGAACCTCTTTCACGCCTGCCCACAGCTACATTCAATCATCTTGAGTTGCAAACCGCATCAATATCTGGAAACACTAGCCTAGCAACTAGCTGGTCCCGACTGTATCAACGTCCCGTGTTTCTCCCGGTGCGTGTATCAACGGGGAAAATACTCTCCTTTGCACCCTACGCCTCAGGTCATTAAAGCCGCTTAGGGTCCTCTGACGTGGTACACAGCCCTTAACTCTTCCCCCAGCGTACAACTTGAGGCGAGGCGGCGTCTCACCAGGACATCATTGCGTCTGGCGCCTTTCTTTCGTCAAGCCACACCTTGATGCCTGTGCTTGACGCGCACCCTGTCCGAGACTGTTTCTCTCGGCTGTAAATAGGCATTTGTTTTAGCCTTGGTCCTAGTGTATGTGCTCTAAAAACAACATTGGGCGTCGGCGTGAAGGTTTTGGCGACCTACCCCGTATGCCCCTGGTCTTTGCCCTCTGCTGCAGAAGCGGGCTGAGTGAGCTGCATTCCTCAAACAACATTTGAATTCCAAAAGAAACTAAATCATCAAAACGGGACATTTCGGAACAATGACCGGACTTTGGGCTCCTTTGTTCTGACAAAAAGAGAGATTTTCCAATGTTCCTTGAAGAACATTCAACTCGGGCGGAACACGCGGCGATGCATGAAGAAGGGAGGAAGATGAACCATCGTCCCGAACAGTCTATTTTCGTCAACCTCTTCCCCTTTGTTCAGGCCCATCTCATGATCGACCCTGCGCCCCCGAGGAAGCCTGTCTGATGGGGTACAGGACCTGGAATCGAACCCATTGACAGACGTCGATCCTGTTTTGCAAATCAACACCAGAGTCAACCCCTGCCAGGTGCCGTGGCTGCGTGCTGGACGCTCATGTATCTAACGTATTGTGCTCCTGACGGCTGGCCCACAGCCACGAGATACTTGCTCAATGTACTTACACTCGACGGGCAACTTCTGAATCCAGCCTTTTCCTCATTGTGGAGCTAAGATCAGACTGGGGCTTCAGACTGGGAATTCAGACTGGGAGTTCAGACTGGGAATTCAGACTGGGAGTTCAGACTGCCCCCCTTTTGACATCTCGAAGTCATCTACATGTATTCTATTTTTGGCCAACTGTTTCACCAAGATGCCCCAAAAACGTTGCCCGTCGATGATGATGCTCAGAGGAAGAGAGGAAAAAGAAAAGGGAGATGAGAGCAGGCCCTAAAAAGAAACAACCCTCGTAGAAAATCAAAATCGGTTGGACTAAGGGGAGACTTCTTTGATCTGCACGCGGGCGGGCGATGGGGTGCCGCTCGCTGATGGCTTATTATACCTGTGACGGAGATCGACGCTCACTATTATTGGAATGAATGTATCCCCAAATACTTCGTACGCAACAGGGATCTCATTGACACGAAAGGAAAAAGAAGGATAATCAAGCAAAAGAAGCAACAAGCTGGTGTTGACGAAGCCGGTGACCCAGCGACAACGCCGACTGACAAGCCGAACTAGAGCGCACAGAGATCCCGGCATCACCCAACAACTTTGAGGGGAAGACGGCAGGGGGCATCCAATGCAATGAGCGATTGCACAGCTCCCGTTGGACGCTTATACCCGAATTTCGTGGGGAACAAACAATGAAAGCAATGGCGGTGGCGTCAATTCGCATTGAACGCTGAAAAGAAACAAGACTGGCACTAAGATTTGATGCGATCAAGCTCGCTCTATTTAATAGATTAGCTCCGACTGTCTACCGCCTCTGTACCTCGCTATTCCTCCTGATACTTCATCTTTATACTTCGTATGTGAACGTAGAACCTAGATCTAGAAGAAAAGAAAGAAAAGGAAAGAGATCGAAAGCGAAGAAGAAAAGAAGTGTTCTCATGCCCTCAATTAGAAGACATGAGAAAAGGCAATTCATGTGAGCAGATGTTTTCATAGTGGGTGGTGCATGAAGGGATATACTCCGAGAATTATGATTGTCGCGTGCCACATGTAGTAATAGTGCTCATCCATCTTGTGCTGACCTCTTGGATACTTGGTGTTTCCTCTGTCCTCTCTACCTCATGGACGTTACACATCTCGAAGCACAAAGGACAAAAAAGTTGTTCATTCCCAGACTTGCTCGGCATTCGTTGATTCGAGTTCTGCCCCCTGGTTTTATCGCCCTCTCTCAATGTTCCTTTTCGAAAAAGAATAATACAAGGAAGAAGCACTTGAGGCAAGGAAACCCGAAAAAGGGGGCAAATAACGGGCTATTCCCGCTGCTCGCGGCTTTTCGCTCTTGAATGTCCAAAAAGAATAGATCCATATGTTTTCGAGGGTTTTTAGGTTTCAGCCAGTCTGGACCGCCGTCGTTTAATTGCAAAGAAAAACCCCTCCCGAACTGGGGCTGTCGGGCTCGAGTTGCCCGCCGTGATCCATCACCGATTCTTTTACCCTTTAACTCTGCAATTGACCCATCCTATCAATTGTGGGACCTGGAGCTTTCCTCCCGCTTTCAGGATCGGGCTGTATGTGTGTACTAAAAACCCAAAGCCGTTCTTGGCTTGATCTGGCTTGATCGCGCTCCCCCCTTCCTCCCCCTAGTTTCCCGCACCGCACCTCGACTTCTGTTGCAATCGCCACTACGACTGCAGCGCTGCATCGATCCCCTTCGGTTGGCGGTTGGCGGTTGGCATCTCTCAAAGGCCGATAAGAGAGGGAGAGGGAGAGGGTGAGAGACCTCACTAGCGGCGGCTGCTGTCCTGGTCTTCCCTTGTTCGTCGACGTGCGTCCTTGTGCTTGGTGAAGGGAGGAGGCTTTTGAGGTACCCGCAACCACACCAAACCGCACGGGACTGCACAGAAACCCTCAGTACCGTGGTGGCAACCGCACTACTTTGTATCTTCCGTCCAAGTACCACTTGCCATACCACGCTACTTCGCTCCGAGTATCAGCCTTACCAGAGCAGCATTGAGCGCACCTCCCTCAAAAAAGTGGTGCTCCCTTTTAATACTTTGTCCCTTGATGCAATTCATTGACTTGACCAATGTCACCCCTCCACCCACACCCTAAACACCCAAAACACCCTAAGCAGGAATGAAAGGCAGTCGAGCCCTTTTGGAGGACACTGCGACCCACGACCCAGACCCATAATTACATACCGCGCACCTTCGCACCTTCGCACCTTGGTCGGCCCTGGCTCTTTCTTGCCCTTTTCTGTCTTTTGTCGCTTTGTCGCTTTCCCTCTTCCCTGGCCCGCCCCTTCCTCAGCGAGAGCAAAGGGTAATATTCTTGGCTTTAGCTCGGCCTGTCCAACTCCCATCAAACAAAGGCTCGAGCTGCTGCTGACTCTCCTCCTTTCGCATTTTGCATTGGATCCAATCCATCTCAGACCTTGCCCCATCATCCTCTCTTCAGAACCAAACCCTTTAGATTTTCTTCGCCCTCGGTTTTTTTCTTTCCTTCCTTTTTGGCCGCCCTCACCATCGCCGACGACCCACTCTCCCCGACGCCAATAATTTTCGGCGCCAATCTTCGCCGCCCTCAGTATATAGTAGAATCCCGGCGCAAACTATCAATCCTTCTCCCTCGTGTCTTGACAAGATTCTTCTCTTTGCCGGCCTCGATTTGTCTGCCAGAAGGAAACGAGGTCCTTGATAAATACCCGAAAGTTAACCTCCGATTCTTCTCCTCCATCGACGCGGCCATCTCTTTCTCTCTCTCGCTCTCTTTTTTCTTTCTTTCTTCTCGTTCTCGTTCTTACCTTTGGTCATCGTCGTCTCGCTCCCCTTGTGCCAACCAACTCCTTACCGAACGTCGACGATATCCTATAACCTTCTCCTCCGCGTTGCTCGACGACTTTTGTCTGTACATCGATAATCCGATCGGACTCCCCATATCATCCTTTCTTGGCCAATCCGCGACACTTGCTCGCTCTCGCCCCTCATGACTTCTGCTTCAGCGCAGATCCCCCAAGCTCAATGGGGTCTGCCGTGAGTAGAGACCCTTTCATCTTACCAGGTTCATCGTCGTGCCTCACATCCCGAGCATCGCCTTCCTGCTCTTTGCCCAACAGTCATACAGTTCCTCTCCCCTGCCTGACTCTGTGCCTTGTCACGTTGACCCCATCGCCGGTGTCGCATGCTTCCTTTTCTCCCCATCCCCGAACGCATCCATCTCCATCTGCTTTCCGCATCCCGTATCTCCTCCATTCATTTCCGCGTCTCTTGCCGTACTTTTGCCGTTATGACTTCTCTATCCCTCCTTTCCTTAGTGCTAATCCGTATCTGTGCTCTCTGATAGCCACGGCCGAGCCGTCTTTCCAACTACACGAACCCTACTTCCGTCCGAGATGACAAGACCCCGCAAAACGTCACTCCTTTCGGCAATGGAAGTATCCCCAACATCTGGTCAACCGCCTCCTTCTCAACACAAAAACGGGATGTGCCCGCCGCCAGCAGGGGCACGTCAAATGGACCGTGGCGTCGAGTTTCCCCAGCAATGACTCCTACCCTAACCAAGCAGCGTCAAAGGATACGATGAACAATGGTAACACTTCGACATTCCCGCCTTCTGAGGATACCCCTGGGCTCAAAATGTATGGAACGCGGCCGAGGCTGCGCCCGCCAACATCCACGCCTCTGGCAGCTCATCCCCGAGCCGTAAGCGAGACTCTTACTTTGGCAGCCAGGATCAAACCTTTGGCCACACGATCAGGGGTAGCTTTTCGTCTCGACCCAAGTCCTTTCTAGACGATGAGAAGGATGTCCGAGGATTTCCGAGTGCCATCAACGGCTTCGACATGGACGTGTCTCGTCGCCAGGAAGCCCGTCCTTCCACTTCCGATTATCCTAGACTTCGGGCTGTTGGTGATGGTCCATCTAGAGATCCCAGCATGCCTCCATCTCGGGGCACCAACGAATCACCAGGATTCCAGGAGCGCTTCCCCTTCCAAGGCCATACCCCCAGCAACTCCATGTCCATGGGACTATCTAGGGCATCCCTTGCCCAGCCACTCCCCTACACCGTTGGGGCCCCCACCCATAGCCTCGATGCCGCAAACGCCTACGACTTCAACCCTCGTCAGCAGGTGGATGGCTCGGGCCTGCCAAGCATGAAAGGACTGTCGTTGGACGAGCGCTCCAGCCCGAGTGCGAATGGCATCAGCAGCCTCCCCTTTGTACCTGGTCAGCATGCTTTTGACCCCTCGTTGACGTCTCCGCCATGGCCTGGCGAAAGCCATGGGCAGCGCTACATGGGTGCAATCGCAACTCTAGACGGCTCATCCAACTCATCTGAAGCCCAATACGTTCCTTCGAAGCGAGGGTCCATCGCCGAGCATGTCTCCCCAAGTTTTCTGGAGGCGCCAAGCAGTACACGCCCCCTGATAGCTGGGCGCCCCGACCTGCATCGCGCGGCTTGAGACTGGGCCAGGAAGGTGACCGGAGAAGCACTCCCGGTGCTACTTTTGTTCCCCAACAGAATCAGGCTGCCGCCGCCGCCGCAGCGGCAGCAGCGGCGCAACCCTTCTACTCGAGCGTGTCTGGGCTATACTTTAACCCTTCGTTCCCGGCCAGCTTCCACCCCAACCTGTATGATCCGTACGCGCAAGCCAATTACCGCGGTGCCATGGTGCCCAACTACCCTCTAGCAATCCATCCATATATCGCCGGTGGTGCAGGTATCGCGCTTCGCGGCGTTCGAGACCAGGATCCCAGCAAAGGAATGAGGAGCGCACTACTCGAGGACTTCCGAGCCAACTCGAAGTCGTCCAAACGATATGAACTCAAGGTAAGTTTTGAAAGGCACTATCCTATGGCCTAGCATATCAAGAACTAACTCGGCGGCTCGTAGGATATTTACGGCCACATTGTCGAATTCAGCGGGGATCAATACGGGTCCCGGTTTATCCAGACGAAATTAGAGACGGCCAATAGCGACGAAAAGGACCAGGTTTTCCGAGAGATCGAGCCTAATGCCATCCAGCTGATGAAAGATGTGTTTGGAAACTATGTCATTCAAAAATTCTTCGAGCACGGAAATCAAGTGCAAAAGAAGGTGCTGGCGGCACAGATGAAGGGCAAAGTCGTTGACCTCTCGGTGCAGATGTATGCCTGTCGAGTGGTCCAAAAGGTGGGTTCTTATCCATTTGTGTCATGCTCTTCCTCCTATGCTCGGGAATATTTAACCAGTTCTAACCCTTCTCTTCCCCTCCCGTCTAGGCGCTTGAGCATGTCCTCGTCGAACAGCAAGCCGAGCTCGTGAACGAACTTGAGCCCGAGATCATCAGGGTTGTTCGGGACCAGAACGGAAACCATGTGGTACAGAAGATTATCGAACTAGTGCCTAAACAGTACATTGGCTTCATCATGGAGGCTTTCAGGAACCAGTGCAGCCTTCTTGGTTCGCACCCGTACGGCTGTCGCGTCATCCAGAGGATGCTGGAACATGGCACCGAAGAAGAAAAGAGGGACATCATGGCAGAGCTTCATGCGAGCGCGCCGGTTCTTATTGTTGACCAATACGGCAATTATGTCGCCCAGCATGTCATCGAACATGGAAAAGCGGAGGATCGCTCGCTGATGATTGGCGTTGTCCTCGACAACCTTGTGGCGCTCTCGAAGCACAAGTTTGCCTCTAATGTTGTTGAGAAGTGCATCGAATTCGGATCTATTGAGGAGCTCCGCCTGATTCGGGAACGCTTGATTGCGGGAGCGACAGACGGCACGTCGTCCTTGCAGTTTATGATGAAGGATCAATACGGCAACTATGTCATTCGTACGTGTGCATCGCATTCCTCCCTCTTTGCCGAGGATAAAAAGACGATGGGGCAAGAGACTAACAATTTTGGTAGAAAAATGCTCAACAAGCTCAAGGGAGCAGACCGCGAGATGTTTGTCGAAGAAATGCGGCCTCACCTCCTCGCTCTTAAGAAGGGGAGCTCTTCTCGGCAACTGCAAGCCCTCGAGAAACTCATGGGCCCGCCCCCGAATGATTCGAACTCGAAGGCTTCCTCCAACTCGGGAAGCCGTCCGGCCTCGGCCCATCTTGCTCTCCCATCTGCGCTCCAAGTGGACTCGGCGACCCCTACGCCAGTCTTGACCATGGAGCCCAACAGCCCGCAGAGCAGCAACCCGCCGAGCACCAACGAGAGCGCCGCTGGCGACGGACCTGAGGAGCCAAAGAAGCCAAGCACAGCGGTGGAGGGCGAACAGACATCTGGAACCGTGGTCGTACAAGACGCATAGATGACACGAGCCGACAGATACACATGGGCGCATATTTAGCTGGCCCCTCACACATATAACGCAACACCTCTCGCGCACATAACACAACACACCTGTAATGCTGCCTTTTACACACATGACAGGGCAGCCGCTCATCACCTTATAATATTCTGGGAGAGTCCGCAGAGCGGCCGATTTGTTACTATCATAATTACTGTTGATTTCATGCTGCATCTTACTTCGGAACACCAGGCATGGTAAACAGCTCGTCATTTCCCCTTGGGAGCTGGAACTTTTATCTTTTTCACTGAAACGAATGCAATCGAACATATGGGACACGAGGCATAGTAACCTGACGTCTTTAACATACACACACACACACACACACCCACCCACACACTCGCGCAACTATAAATCTAGGCATGAATTGCCAGTACCTACCCTTGCTGTCGAACGACGCAGCGAGACGATGTTCGACATTCCATTCTCTGTCTTTACTATTACGCTTTTTCGAGCAAGGGCTGGCGATTTTGCTCAACAGCGTGAGGGGGATATGTGGTGGGGTCGCCGAGTGGAATTCCTGCGAGGCTTGGGAAATTCCTGCCGGCCATCCCGAATACCTCGGGGGCCGAGGGGGCCATGGGATGGGTTTTTCTTTTTCTCCCTCTTCTTTTATCTTTATCTGGAGCGATGACTTTGGAGGTTTTCCAACACATACGCCCGAAGGGAAGGACTGGCGATCGAGATTATTCCACCTCGCTTCCGCTACCTTCTTTTCCTTCTTTGTTTTTATTCAATTTCCCGTTTCACATCTTACTTCTTGTTTCTATTTTCCTTTCCTTGCCGGACAGGTGCGGCGGCCTTTTGTCATCTATACTCGGGTAAACCGACACTCTTCGTGCTGGCCGTCGGATGGTATGTTTAGCTTTGAAGAACTGCTCTTAGTCCCCACTCCTCAAGGCGCAAATTGCGTACAGGGAATGGATGATGGCGAGTCTTGACTACCTTTGTATTCTGTTATTATGGAGTAAAAGAAGCGGACGGCAGCAGGAAGAGGGTTGGACGGAAAACAAGTAGCGGTTCTCGAGTTCTTGACGGAGTACACAAAAAGACAATGGAAAGCATTGATATCCTTTACGAACCTACTTCCTCATATTATGCCACCATGATCTAATCTATGAGGCTGGCCTCTCCCGGTTCACCGTCATGTGCGGATGTGTCTTGTCGAGTTGGGCGTCACAGGCAGACACCAGCAAAACATGGGTCAAGAGGTAGGTTGACGCATCAAAATCTTTCTTGCTCTTACGAAATACTGAATTGCACTGTGTTACAAGAATACCATGGTTGGTTTGCGTGCGCGTTCGGGCCCGAGAGAGGGCCGCGAGATTACGCTAGATACTAACCCACTGGTATTCAATATTTGCATGTGGGCGTGTGTGTGCGGTTGTGTATGATCTTTGTTTGAACCAGGGTATCCCTCTAGTACATGTAGTCTATGTCATCGAATAAAGTAAAAAAACGAGGCCCTCGCCATACCTCACGGCGAGCCCATGTTGTTGCTCACCCCTTATTGGCATCGACAAAGGAAAATGGTCGTGGAAGCGACGCAGTCGCTTAGGCTGTTTGGGCTTCTTGGCCCGCCAGGCTAGATGGGGGTTACCCCGACCCGGGTTCGTACAAGATATTCTAGAATGGGAACAAAGGAAAAGTAATAAAAGGTGGTCAAATCCACGGCGTGTGGACGGGATGAGGTTGGCCCGATTTACTGTCATTTTCTTTTTCTTTTTCTTTAGCGAGCGGAGCAGAGCCGGGGAAAAAAAGAAAAAGACTCAGGCAGTCGCGAGGATCTCGTCGGGGTCCGTCACGGGGCCGCGGACCTCGCCGGCGCCGGCAAACATTTTTCTGCGCTCCTCTTCCTGGCGCCTGGACTTTTCGGCCTCCTCCTTGCGCTGCTGCTTGACGTAGGCGGCGTAGCGGAGGGTGGCGAGGCTGACGACGGCCATGAAGGCGATGCCGAGGGCGGAGCGGCGGATGAGGATCCAGCGGAGGCCCTCGATGTCGGATTTCATGTCGCTGCTGAGGACGGTGGAGATTTTGTAGTTGATTTTTGGATCTGGGGGTGGGTTAGTTGGGTGTGCTCGCAGAGAGAGTCAAGAAGGACACAAGGAGAGGGAAGGGGCTGATCAAGAGACGTACGGAGCCAGCGTTGGCCTTTGCTCCTCGCGGACGGCCATTTTACGGTCGTCGAAGAGACCGCGGACGGTGTCTTTGAGGGTGAGTAGTTCGTGGTTGAGGGTCTGCCATATCACGTCGACCTCGTGTTGGAGGCGCATACGCTGCTCGCGCATGACCTCGTCGGCGGCGCGGCGGTTATTCTTGACTTCTGTGCTGAGTTCCGAGCAGGCGGCCTTGAATAGATATGTCTCCTGTGCATTTAGGAAATAGAGGGTTAGCTCGTTGCCTCGTCGTGAGAACGACTTGAGAGGAGGGAAGAGGGGGAAAGCTCGATTTACATTATCAACGTCGCTCTTGCTGACCAGGTCCTCCTGGGCGGCCGTCATCTTGTCCCGCAAGAGCTCGCGCATGGCCTTCATCATGGTGACGGACTGCGGGCGCGCGTAGCCGGCCTCGACGAGGCGGTTCACCATGGCGTAGCTGTCGAAGAAGTGGGAAAACGGCAGCGGGGGTGGGCCTTGACCGAGGCGATGGAGCCGGGCGGGCCGTTCATGTAGAGCACCGTTTCCATGGGGCCCGATTTTTTCGCCTCGCTCTTGACTTCCTGCACCTCCTCCTCGGCTCGCTTCGCCTCCTCGGCGGCTTGTGCGGGAGAGGCGCCGTCCGCGGCCGGGGCGGTAGCGACGTGCGAGGACCCCTTTGCTGGTGGGTCTTCGGTGGAGGGTTCTTGCTCGGCGGTGGGGGCTCGGCAGCGGCGGCGGCGGAGGGGCGGCGGCGGCGGTAGTAGTTTCTTTGGCCTGGTTGGCCTCGGCGTCCTTGGCGGACTTGAACTGCACGGCTTTACCGTGCCTTCGGGTGTTGGTCGTGTGGCGTCGGTTCGCGGCGGGTTGGCTGACGAGGGAGGGTCTTGTGCGCGTGAGAGGCTCGGCTTCCCGGAGCGCCCGCGCTAGGCGGGGGTATAGGAACGTGAGTCGGTTGGCTGGCGGCATTGTATCGTAGGCTTGTCTGCTATCAACATAGCACTAAAAAAGAAAAAAGAAAAAAAAAAAAAAGGGCGGCGGGGCGGCGAGGAGAGTTGTGGTGATAAGAGGGGCGCACATAGGGCAGAGGGAAAGGGGGAGCCAGTAGTCACGAGCGGGCTGGCAAAAGTGTAGCGGGAGAACGATATAAACCTTGCTCTTCTCAGGTCGGGGCGGGGTGTGGGAAGTAGAAGGGGTAGTCGTGCCTGGTTCGAACCGGTTTTTGTGTGGTGTTGTGTGTAGGAGGCGGGCCAAGTCGAGGTTCAATGATGACCCATGCTCCAGGGATTGGATGAGCTCGGCTCCCGGACCGAGGCGTGGACAGTCAAAGCAGTGAACGCATTGGCGGGCCTTTCCACGGGCACCTCACCTGCGGGCCACTGTAAAACACTTATCTACACGTGACGATAAGATAATGAGATTGGATCGGGGAGAAAGAGCGCGGCGCGCGCCGATAAGCCCCAGCTCGATGCCAAGCGCGTCTTTTCCAACGTCACAAAACCCTCGTCCGCCCCTCCATTCGCAACGTCCGCAGGCCCAAAGTGAACGGGGGTTTGCCAAACTTCCAAGAACCAGAGGATCCATTCAATCGCGGGAGAAAAACAGGGAGAAGGGAAAACCCAGGCACCCGGCTTTTTTCTTCCTTTTTTTCCTTTTCCCCTCCCTTCCCTTCTTTTTTCCTCGTCTCTACTCTTTTCACATCTGAACCATGTCCGCCGAAGGCCCTCCACCGCGGAGGCGCAACCCGCAGAAACGGTCGCGAACCACGACAATGCCAACGGCGTCGAAAGCGACCACGACCTCGAGGGCCGCGACAACAACAATCCAGACAGCCCCGGTTCCCCCTTTACCGGCGCCGCACACGGCCGTGACGCCCGGCCCGCGCGCCGCGAGGCTGCAGGAGCTGTTCGCGACGAGCTTGGCGCACACCCTCAACAAGATTAGCTGGGAGAACCTGGCGGCGTGCTACCCCACCATTGCCGCGAAATCCCCGACCTGCTCAAGGGCGTGCGGAAGACCATGGTGGAAAAGATGGAATCCAAGTGCAAGGTACGACATCACGGCCCTCTCTCTGGGTAAAGACGAGGGCTCAAGAGACAGGGGACATTGCGCGCGATATACCCCTCCCCTCCCCGCGCGTGCTGCTTGCTTGCCCAACTTTTCTGCCCTTTTCTTCCGTTGGTGCCCCTTTTGATTTTACTAACCCCCGCGATCAAAGATGGAATTCGAGCGCATCATGGAACTCCGAGCCGTCACCCCAAGCTTAACGAGCTGGAAAGCCTCGTCTCCGAAGCCATCCGCCGTCGCAAATCCTCTCCCGCCGACGCAGAGCCACCCACTCCGTACGTCTCCCCTCCATTTTTTTGTCTTCTTTTTTGAATATCAGGACACAATATGAGCCAACGAAAAAAGTCCGTCGAGTAGCAAACCAAGACTAACGTTTTTCTACTTCCTCTCTCCTTGTCCCAACACCGCAGTCCCCATCTCCTCCCCGCCACGACGGTTCTTCAAGCCCACCTCTCCCGGCCCCTCACCGCCTCCCAATCCCACCTCAACGCCAAGCTGCAAAACACCCAGGCCGACAACGAGCGCCTCTTCGCCGAGGTCAGGCCCAGCGCACCGAGATCGCCGAGCTCACCGCTGCCCTCGAGCGCATCTGCGCCGACATCGACGCCGCCAACGCCCTGCTCCGCGAGGTCGTCGAAGAAGTTGCGGCTGAAGCGAGAGAGCGCGAGGTTGAGATGTCGGGGACGTAAGAGGAAGAAAAAGATTGGCGGGAAGGAAACCACCAAAAAAATGATGATGAAGAAGAAGAAGAAGAAGAAGAAGAAGAACAATCTCGGCGAAAGCAAGCGAGGGACCTATGCAAGCAAGGTTCTTTTGTGGTGGGACAAGCGTTCTTTCTTTAGTCTACGCTCCTGTCCTTGGCCCTTTTGTTCTTTTTTTCTTCTTTCCTTGGAGAATGTGGCCTTGGCCTCCCGTGCGAGGGCGCGCACGTGTTCGCCTCGTCGTCCACGTTTGGTGGGCTCATGTCTTTTCTCGTACCCACTGGTCCTCAATCCCCTGTTCTCAAGCCCCGTCGTTGTCGGCCTTTTTGTTAGGCTTTGGATACCCGTTTTGGAAGGCCATGTAGAAGCAAGCAGGATTTGGTCCTATTCGCTCTTTCCTTGGCTTTGGTTCTTTTTTTTTTTCTTCTTTACAATTTCTTTTCTTTTTCCTCTCATCTTGGCATCTCCGCCTTGCCCCATCCTTCTCCTCAGCTCTTTTTACGACATGGGAGATATTCGAGGCGGGCCGATGGGAGCCGCTCATGGACGCCGGATGGCACGGTACTTTTGCATCGTGTCGGACAGCAGGCGTAAAACATACTATATATGGATCCATACAATGTAGGCATACTCAGGGCGTGTGGGGCGTGCAGACCGGAGGCCATGGACTCCCCGTCGCCGTCCCGGGTCTAGGACTTGATGAATTACGATGCAATGCACGGCGTTCGGTGGCATCCCTTTGAAATATTTTCGGAATGTGGTATCATTTATATGCCGGGGCTTTATTTTTTCTAACATACAAACAAAAGATCCAAGTGGTGAGATGGTTGCTGAGGCAGGAAACTGAAATGACCAAGCATCGCATCGTCCCTTGCCCCTGATACCTCTGGCCCCGGTGCACAATTTGAGTAAAAAGAATTGTGGGCAAGGAACAGTGGATCTATACAATCATCCATTGAATCAAGAGATCTATTGATTCCAAGGCTCCTCGTTAGCTCCTGAGATCCAAAAGCTCAGGGGCATCCGTTAGGTCCTGTATGTACAAAATCGCCATCCAACAGGTATCATTCCGCTCCAAGGACGAGCACTCCTAGAAACAGCGAGTAATTGTTCTGAGTAGACACAAGTAACAAATGAGAAAACAAACAACGACGCCGCCAACTCCGCATTTATCGTGATCAAGTTTCCATGTACCAAGGTAGACCTGTCCAACACCCACAGCGAATGCAGCCTTTGCAGGTTGCACAAATGCTACGAGTCAAGGAGCTGAATGCTCAAGTTTTTAAAAACAAAAACAAAAAACCTCTAGAGAGGGAGGAGACCGGCCAACACTTGCTTCAGGTGTTGCCTACTATATGTAAACCATTTCCCGAAATATTCGGGCAACGGAGAGAGAATATGAGATTGAGAAGGTGAAGGAGAAGAAAGAAATGTGAGCCTGCCCGATGCAAGACAGGAAATGACGCTGATGCTGATGCCGATGCCGATACCAATGCCGATGCCAATGCTGATGCTGATGCCAATACTAAGGATGATGATGACGGTGAAGAGAATGATGGGAGATGGAGAGACCATGCTGGAGCTGCGAACCCATGTGTGACGAACCGGAAAGTCGCTATAGACGCTGGTTTCCGGCGTGCACTATGTGCCAGGCATCGTACAAGTCGATCTCCCCGTATTCTGGAGGCAAGACCCGGACCATGCGCCCCGTCATCCAGTCCACGAACCACTTCTTTCCCTTGCTGACGATGTAGTTGGACTTTCGAGGGCTGCGGAATAACAGCACCGAATAGCATAGCTTGGCGTAGCGCATGTCATGCTGCGGGCCCCAGTAATGAGCCGGTGCCCATTTTCCGGAGAGGTCGTCGATGGCCTCATTGGGATACGACGTGATGGAGAGCCGACTGAAAGGATCCGGCCGGCCTGGACCGGCATGAAAGCTGTGCATGACTGGTCGTGCCGACTGTCCTCGGCCCTCTTCAAAAGTAGCTTCCCCTGGTCAATATCAAACGCATCACCATCATTTAGCTCATCCGCCTCTTCGCCAACCTCCTCATCCACCTCATCTTCCGGGAGGCCGAGAAAGGACGATCGGCAGCATCGGCGGCGCTTTCCGCGATTGAAGAAGCACGGCTCGGTGACTCGCCGCGAATCCATCGTATCCTCTGAATACGGGGAATGCTCTGGTCTCGGGGAAATCTCGTTCATCTAGGGGCGCAGCGACATCGATGGCGGCAAATAGCGACTCCAGCCACTTCAGAAATGTACTCAGCTCGACGCAGGACAACAGAAACTGATCCGCTTCAGCCCGCACTCGGATAACGTGACGTCTCCTACACCATTTGTTAGTCAAATGCGTTCAAGGGGTTCGTCAGGGTGGAGCCGAGGTTGGGGAGAGCACTGGGGTCGCCAATTCGACCACATAAGCCACCCAAACATAAATGCAACCAAGGTTGACACGAGCAGGGAGATGGGAGAGAAGATGAAAAACAAGGGTTCTTACTTTTGGTAGTCGAGGGCAATTCCAACATCCGCGTACTGCAGGCTGTAGCTCCTCTCCAGCTTACCCCTCCGGACCCATGGTGGATTATCCGGTGATATCGTGGGGCCTCCTTTACCTCTTCCCAATCCCCAATCCTTCTTAATCTCGTAGATGTTGAGGGCGGTGCCCTGGAGAACGGCGTAGACAGAGTGCCAGCGACGGTCCTCAGCCCTCTTGGTGGTGTTTTCGATCTCCATCTTCTTAGTAAAAACGCCCTCACAGTAGACTGAGCACCAGTACTTTGGCAGCACCTCGGGCCCTTCTTCGACAACATTTGAATCCTCCATCTGCAGCGGCGGTGGTTGAAGGTCGCCCGTCTGAGGATCATAGGTTAGATGCTGAGAAGGTCGCCGAGGTGCTGAGGTGACGACATGATGATAGTGTATGTCTTCGTCCATGGAGAGTCGCCGCCGTCTCGGCGGCGCACCGGCAGGGCTAGTGTATGACACATCGTCGGGGAAAGAGGTTCTCTGCTCCATGGGGACCGTGGATGTATATATGCCCGAGGCCCAGTCCCGGGCCCACCGAACACTCCTCCGCGCGTCAGCTTCTCGGTTCCGATGATGCGGCTACCTTCTAGCGGCACCTTCAGATCCTCCTTAGTGTTCCACAAAACCACGTTGGACCGGGTACTATACCGACCCGTCCGGGTTGTTCATGTTGGAGGTACTTTTTCTGAGTGATCGATCTGGCACGCCCTCGGACGACGGCCGGGTAGCCGAGAGGGACAGCAAGGGGAAGGGGGCGTGTATCGGCGTGGTGGAACAAAAAAGTATGTAAATCACAGGCAGGTGGAGGAGGAGGATGATGAAAGAGAAAGAAAGAGACACAAGTGGCCGAAGAAAGTTGGATGGGGAAGGACCCGCTGGAGAAGGGGCAAGTGGGTAAGGGGTGTGGAAGCAAAGAAAGGCAAGAAAAAGCTTGATCAATAATACAGATGAAGATCATCCGAGATCGACCGTGACCATGGGCGTGCCGTATTCCGTGGTCGCAGCCGGTACCTCTGTTTGCGAAAGGCCAGAAGGGGTGAGGTGAGGATAGTGAAGACCACAAAAGATCCAGCGCCTATTACTCGTAGATGAAGTGGATGGTGCCGAAAGAGTGAGAAGGGCCTCTAAAAAAGGAAAAGGAAAAAAAAAGGAAAAAAAGACCCCGAAGATGACGGGAAGAAGAATCGAGGGCTAGAGTGGTCCGGAGGATGGAGTCGCAGGTGCCAATACAACGGGTCCTAGTTTCAGTTGGTCCTTCGATGTGTGTGGACTCGCACTCGCAGCGGAGCTCGGGCAATATGGCGACCAGGATGTGCGCAAGATGAGCGCTGGGGCAGGCTTGATTGGGAAACGGGGACCCCACAAGCTACGGGGCAGTAAGGCGTCGAGAAAAGAAGACCAGAGACGACGCAAGAGGGCGAGGGAGGGAGGAGAGTGGGTGACAAGGGACAAGAGACAGGCCGGTGACAGTTTGGATCTTAAGATCTGAGGTTTCGGAAGTGGCGACGCTGGGCCTGCTACGCCTGCGCTGGCTGCACCGAAAACGCAAGACAAAGGCGAAAGATACAAGCCGTTATGGAGTGCGAGGGCTGGGACAAGCAGTCAAGGTCCGACGGGTGGCCATTTAGCGTTCATGCTTTCTTGGGCCTAGGGACTTTGGAAAAAGGACGTCTTTGTGGACGAGGCAGCTACTTTGTCGCCGCGCGCGGGTAAAAAAGCCGGGATGCTTAATAAACAGTGAAGAAAGCGGTTCATGTGCGCGTGCAGCGTACACGCCTCTTCGGAACGGGCGACAAAAGCACTGCGAAAGAACAGGGACCCCGATGCCGCCAAAACGGTGGTGGTGATATATTGATCCAGCTCGAAGCTTGTCCGTCTCTGTCTCTTTCCCACAGGGGATAAGTGGCGGGATTCTTGAGTGAGAGGACGCGCGAATGATCGTCGACCCAGGTCGGATTCCAACTGGAGACGGAGACAAAGAGGGGAAAAAAGCCACCCGTTAATGAGCGATTGATGCGAACAGAAAGTCGAGATTGCGTTGACGTTCGCTACGAAGTTGGACGGATTGAACACAAAAAGCCAGACTGACATCAATGATCCGAGTAGGTTAGAGAGGGGGGCGTGGGATGGGGAAAGGCACAGCAGCTAGTGGAACTTTTCTCATTCGATGACCGCCACCCGCTCCCGCAAAGATAGTATTAGCACATATCTGCTCAATGTCCCTTTGCACAGAGGCGCGAGCAGGAGGGTGTGGGCGGAGTGAACCCGAGATGAGTGCAAGTACAACAGTGGTGGAGCATTGACGGGCATTGGGGTTTGCAGAAGGACCCTCATCATTCCAGGTTAGGGAGGTGCAAGGTGCATCCACGGCGTGCCAGAAGGGGTTGTACCTTGCCTGCTTCCTTCCGTCGCACAGAGACAGACACAAAGTTCGGAAAATGGGGCAAATAATGGGGGAAGGAAGGGGAGAGGGACGAGGGGGATGGACGGTAGTACGGTAGTACGGTCGTACGGTCGTACGGTACATCAATTGATCCATTGGATGTATAAGCCCCCAAAAGGCAGCAGCGATGGGAGCAAACGGAGCCTACCAAACCTAGCCATGCTGCCATTGAGTAATTCGTGTGGCAGGGGCAAAAGGTCTTTTGAGGGGTCAACCCATTCCCAGAACGGGGCCCGGGGGTGTTGCTTCGTTGGTCTGGTCCGTCAAATTTTTGCTGGACGGAAGGGGAACAAAGTACCGATCCACCTCCGCGTTGTACTCGAGCGGAATTTCTCATGGGAGGTTGCTCCCGGAATATGGTAGCCAAAACGGGAATGGGTACCACCTCTGTACTCCGAGTGACATTCGATTTATTCTCTCGCCCATCCATTCTTAACCCCATGAGGTGTTGAGGCCCGAGGAACCCCGTTACGCATCGCCCCCCGTTGTGATGCACGAAAAAGGCTTGATCTGGGGACAAGTGCGATCTAAGAAACCCAGCGCTGGTACAAAACGGTCGCGCCAACCGGTTTCTCCGAGCCACTGGCGTGCTGACGACGAAGGGCCCTTTGGAAAATCTGGCCCATCACCCTCATAATAATACCCTGCCTGCGCTTCGCAAGATTGACAGAGAAGACGAAGCTTTTGCGCCAGACCGAACGGCTTTCGGCACGCGATTGCTAGTCTTACGGTCTTCGCACGCCTCGGGCAAGTGCGTCCTGATTCTCAAACGTTTTGGGGAAGGAAGCTGGTTTAATGTGCCTTCCCCTTTCTTCGTGGTCTTCCTATCCATGTTTGTGCGTGTCCGTGTGCGTGTGTGGATGTGTGAGCGAGAGAGGGATTGAGGGAGTTCGCCGCGATTCCGTTCAACAAAGGTACCACTATCGTAATACGGCGGGTTCCTGAGCCCTCAAATGGCTCCAATGTCGTGCCTTTTCGGGTGCAGTACCTGCGTGACGTGCGATAGGCGACGAGTGTATGAGCTTTCAAAAGTTCCTTTGCCGGCTGAACTAACCCACCGATCATCCCCACTATTTTCCCCTTCCATATATCCAGATTTAGATACAGGTCACGTATTACTGGGGAATCCTCCCTGCTGGCAGGCGGGCTTTCTGACCAAGCGGCTGCTTTGATTGGCCCTTCCCCGGATGTTGCGGCACGAGGATTGAATTTCATTCATTTAATGGCCAACTCTGATGGTACTTTTGCGCACGCAGGCCGCAGAAATCCCATTTCATTCCTTCCTGCCGCCCTCCATCGCACTTGGCCGCACTGCACCAGGCAGGTTTTGTCCGTATGTTGCTTTTTGCTCCTCCGACGAGGGTTTGCAAATGATCAAGACTTGTACTCGGGGTATGGGTGATACGATTTCCACTCATAGCACCCAAGTACCTCTCCCTTAGAACCTAGCATTGATGGATCAATTGTATCCATTGATGGGGGATGTTTCCTCTTAGGGACCCCCCTCGATTAATCAATCACCAATTTTGGGGGCACGGAGAGCCTCCACCCCTTGTCGAGGAACCAAGGGACTTGATGGAAGTCGCCTCCTGTTTCCTTCAAGGTAGCGATTCGAGAATCTGATTTGGCAGCGACGAAAAAGAAAAAGGAACGAAAGAAAAAAGAGTCTTGGCCTTTGATCCTATCCCCACGTGTTTTATTTTGGAACTCATCGCTTGGCAACACGACCCTGGTTTAGAGTTGGCGGGAGAGGCCTTGCTCTAATCATTTGTTCCGATCGAGGAGGGCATCGTATACGACCGCATCCACCCGAATCCTAGCGTTTCATGTGAGAGCGATTTCAGGCCAGCAGCGCGAACATGCAGAAACCATCTCCGACTCGGGATTTTCGAGATGAGAAAAAAGTAATAGCGGGCCCCCTCTCTGACGGCGGCCGAGTTCGGTCAGGCCTTCCTGCTTCGGACGAAGCCCGAAATTCTATGGCGGGGCTTACCACGGGACTGGGCAAAGATCAAGGTCGGAGTGGAGGAAGTCAAGCTCGACAATGGATCACATACACGAATAGTTGGCCCGACCGAAGCATGGCGTGGCGTGGCGTGGCCTCAACCTCTCCTCTTCCCGACACTACTGCTCATGGTCTGTGCCGGAACACCTCTGCCCGTCACCTTTTCCACCGCCCTTTTTCCCCGCGCTTGTCTTCCTAGTAATATTACGAAGCCATTGGGATCAATTGATCCGTAGATGGAATGGGTGCCTGCTGGTATTGCTCAAAGGGCATGATGAATAAGGCATGAACCGAGCCGCACTGATGCACCTTGTCCTCGCCTGGCTAACACTGGTGCTGTGCCCGGTGCCCCGGCAAGTAGAAACTGCTCTTCAGGACGAGTCGATGATTGAGCGGGGAGAAGCCTCCAAAAGCAAAAGCCCGGTAGTCAATTCGAAGAGGCAGCAAGAATGGGTTCTTGAGCCAGATTTCCCACGGGAACAATGCTGATTATTCTATCACGGTGACTGCTAAGGCCTTGCGATTCCACCCGTGATATTACCCTGGCCCCCGCGAAAGCCTTGGGAGTCAATGGAACTCTCTCACTTGTCGGTAGTCAAAGCCAAGACATGACGAGCCTTACGGCCATGGGCTAGAAATGACAGGCCCATGCTCGGATATCTCGCGTCAGGATGCAGGGAAGTCTGTTGATTCATTCAGCTTCCCACACGTCCTTTGTCCTGTGCGAGCCCGCTTTCCGTGCCCGACCCTTGTCTAGGCCGCCACGGCCGAATCCTCAGTCACACTCAGAGGTCCCAATCCCACGGACAACTTGACTTGGCATACTGTTGGTGGTGCGGGTGGCGGTTGTGGGGGTTGTTCTTTTGTCCTCTCCGACCTCCGCCTCTTCTGTTGGCTTCTGCTCTTTTGGGGAGGAGGAACCCCTTCTACTTTTGTCCTTCTTTTCCACCCCTTTTTTCTCAGCATGCGCCGAGCCTGCATGCATCTGGCAGGGTTAAGGGAGGCAACGGCCCCGCCATGTGGGCGTGGGCACGGATGATTACAGCGACGGGCAAGCAGTCTGTGGAGTATAGAGAGTACAAGTTTGAACTGTGGCATCGGTCCACGCCATTTTTCCCGCCAAACCGAAGAAAACAAAAAGGTTGGTATTAGTCAAGAGTCACCCGGGGTGGGCTAAGTTCGCCAAGCAGAGCCGTCGCCTGTTTTTGGTCTAGAGCTGGGATTTTCAGTTCTTTTGCATCTGGAAGGGCGGAAATGACAGCGGAATGACCAGGATCAAAATTGATCAGTTGGCTTGACCGGCGTGACGGCCCCTCTCTGCGAATCCATATTGTCTGTTTGCGGGGGTGATCGGACTGGAAGGGCCGTTTGTATGTCATCTCTCTCACCATCAGCGTTCTCGGTGTATTCTCAAAAATCCTTGCTCTTGCACCCGAGTTGCAGGCACCGCCAAAGCCAACATCAGCCAAAGAGCGAAACAAAAATGCAAATCAAAAAGATTGAATGCATCTGACGGGGTACTTTGTCTCGAGTGCTCACTAGGCTGCCAAATTTCGTTCATTTCATTACCATTCAATGAATATACACACCATTCTCCCCCACCCCGCCCCCAAACGAAAAACCCAAGGTTCCTTTGTTCAAAATTTGTTTCCCTCTTTGCTTGCCCCGTCTCGCCTCGATTGATGACATGGGTCCCCCCTCTAGCTTTGTTTCCGGCCCCCAAACTCGGCATGTATGGCACTTTAGCCCTTTTTCCCTCTTGTATTACGCCGTCCAAAACGAGGGCTTTTTGCGATCTGGTCGGCGCCTTGCCTAACTGACTGGCCATCCGCGCCTTATCCACTCCAATCTGCATTTCACCTGAAAGTCCCATGCAGAACCTCTCCTCCTTGAAGCAAGGCTTCCTGTTTCTGCGTCTCAGCGGGCCCAAAAGAAAAAGAAAAAAGTTGCTTCTCCGGAGCCCCATTCTCGAAACAAGCTTTGCCCATCCTGCTCTGTTTGGTGGTTGTCAGAACTGGCCCTCACTTGATGTGGGTCAGCGCCTGTGGTGTTGTAAAAGGGGGCAGAGGCATCGCGAAATCTGATGTCGAGAGGATATAATCTTCCCACTTCGATTTTTAACATTGGATCTCTCCGGCTTGGCTCGGGAGCCTTACCGGTTGCAAAGTCCGCCTTTCCATTGAGGATGGGCTCTTTGGCGCCTCCGTCGGACTGCTTCTTCCTTGCGGTCTTGGCTTCCACGCTCCCACACACCCTAGTCGCCAAGAGTTTTCTTTCGGCTCCGGCTACGGACGACCTCTGGCTCAAGGCCGAACGCGTGCCTCCGTTGGAAGATGGAGGGGAAAGGGAGGGAGGGGAGGGGCGCTTGCTCCGGCCTTCCACGATGCTTGAAACTCTCCTTCCTTCCGTTGAAGCTTGGCTCGCTCGTTCGACTCGACCTTTTGGTTCATTTTCCCGCACCCTCTGCAGCAGTGGCTTTTTTTTGTTCTTTTCTATAAATATGTCCCATGCAGAGCCAAGGTGAGACCGCAACCCCCTCATCGTCGCTAGTGTACCGAAAGGGCCTTGCGGAAATTAGAATTGCCCTCTTTCTGCTCGACTCACGAGAATACGGCGATTTTGGCATGCCAGTTGTGCTCCGGCGCGCCGTCCTTTTGTCTCTGAGCATCGGCCCCTCTCCTCTTGCGTCTCTCTCCTCTTTCTCTCCTTTCCCTCTTTCTTGTAGTTCTTTGCGTCTCGTAAAACTTGGTTCCTTTTTCTCCTTGTTCGCTCTTCATCATTCGCCCGTCGACCGGGGGTTCGAGTCAAAAGCGTCAATCACTCCCTTGGACGAAATGCCGCGCGGGCGTGACCCTCTAAGTGACGGTGACACTGGGTAATGGGGGATCGAAGGCTACGAATCAAAGCAACGTCGTCCATGGTCGAGCTGGGGTTTCCTGGTGGGTTGCTTTCCCCAGATAAAGGGCGCAAAACCTTTCCCACGCAGATGACTACCGCTTTAGAGAGGGCTGCGTAACCCACACTCTATGATGCTATGCGCATTGAAACCCACGCTCCCCTTTCGGCCAATTTTTTTTGCGTCGTCCCCCTCCCCCTTGTCACGTCCCCAGCCTGGACTGTCTGTTATAGGTGTAATATTGCGTATCGGGGTTTTGCTCACCCTCCCTGTTGGGAAGGTCTTCACTAGGATCTCTCGTCGCAACCTCTGGCGTATCCTTTTGAACGTTGCATGTGAATACGCTCCCACCCACCCTCCCAAAGACCTGACACCACTGCCTTGTTTCCCTTCCTGGCTCCTCTTTTCCCAGTCTCGTTTTGTTTCGATTCGCTCCTTCTACCATCTATCTATGTAGCTGCGAGCCGCAAATTCTTTTTCCTTTTGAAGAAATATAGGAATAGAAGCCATGGGGGAATGGCACGTAGGTTTGACGACAGACGCACGCAGTCGTAGCGGCGGTAAGATTACATCTATGGAAACTATTCATGAACGCGAAGAAGGACCGAGAACGGATGGCTTCGGCACTCCAACCCACCCCTTGCCAGTGTCTTTGAGCCTCTTGTCGCATTGCGCCTTTTTCCCATCTCCGAGCCCTTTCCCCAGTCACCCGTCCACGTTCGCAAGCACCCGGAGAGACTGGGAAGGCATCATTGCAACATGGCAGCAAGTCATAATCCAACCTTCTCCGCTCTTGTCACTTTGCGTGTCTGTTTCCTTTTGTCTCTCTTCTCTTCTCTTCTCTCCCACCTCCCACTTGTTGACCCCCTCTTCTCCCGGAAAGGGCGGCCGAACCTTTGTTCCCCCGATTTCGTAGACCCACGCAATGATATCCCTTTCCACGTGCCTTGGAGATGATGCGTGGCGGTCCAGGATGCCTAAAGGTCTCGTAACTATAGGATGGGGAGGTAGAGAGAGAAAGACATATTGAGAGGAGAGGGGCGGGAGGTGGAAGAGAGAAATGCGAACCACGAAGCAATCCCATGAAGGAACTTCTAGGAGCAAGAATGAGGGCGACAGATGGGGAGGCTATTGAGACCGCTTCGCGTGGGGGCGCGCTGCTCTGGCACAACGGCGGGCTCAGCGCTGGATTTGGCCAGAGGTCGAATCGTTGATGCAAGTTCTCCACGTCGACGAGTCCCTTCTTCGGCCTCCCTTCCCCGATTCACACAACACTGCCCGCGCGAATCGATAGAACGACTGTGCTTGTCCATCGCCTATTCATACCCAGACAGACACTCCGGATGGGATTCGACTCGGCGCTCTTGTGGCTACATGTAGATTCATGTCATCAACCGAGGTAGTCTTGGCCTGATCAAAGCTTAGGTGCAACATTTGTGACGGCCAGGCATCTGGATTGCACCCAGACGAAGCTTCTGCACCTAAAACTACACTTCTACACTCCCCATTGTGGGCGGATTTCGGACTTTCTTTTGGGTATTATTTGGCATCAAAAGCTTTAATGCTTCCCAGCCGTGTATCTACCATCTAAGCCCCTATTTGTACACTTTTGCCCTTGCTATTTTGTTTGAACATCTTTCCTGCGCCGTATCCTCTTGGAAGAAAAACAAAGCGTTTCCGTCTACCGCGTCCCGGTTGTCGTGGCACGCCGAAAAAGGAAACAAAATGCACGCCGCTTCCATCAACTTTTCCCCAAGCCCCTGTCCGGTGTCCGAGAAAGATCAATTCGATAAAAGACAACAAAGAGAAAAAGAATAAGCCGGTTTGCCATGAACCCATTCATTCATGGCATCCCGGCGTCTTCTGAAGCCCAGCGGGTGAAATGTGGGAAAAGAAAACAAGTATGAAGCGGAGGGGAGGGGAGGAGGTAGGTTTTGAGCCCTAGACGAACAGAAAAGGGTGTAAATATGTAACAGAAGTCAAATCTAAGCAGATTAGACCAAACGCCGCCTTCATGTGTAGATGCGAGTACGATTCGGGTGCTACAAAGCAGGTTCACGAAGCCCAGTGCGTAACCATGATATGCTAGGTGGCACCAAATCGAGTGAGTTGTGTCGAGATTAGGAGGTTATAAGGGTTATCGGGAGGGGCGGGATAATGCGTGCGGTGCGCGCTCCGTGTGTTAAAGAAGCCGCCAAGTTGCATGCATTTGGAAGATGTAAGGTCAAAGACGGGTCGAGGATTGGGAATCGCGGGCTGCGGCTCCCTGAGGTCCCCAAGCTACCGGTTTCCCTGCAACAAGATATTGAAGCGGAAACCCGAGTAGGTATTGACTGGTTTAAGCGTTGGTCGGCGCGGGTCCCTTGCCGCGAGCGGCGGCACCACCGCGGCCCCTGGTCTGAGAGCCAAAGGGAGCCTTGGGGCCTCCTTGGCTGCCGGAGCGGGTGCCATCATAGCGGCCGCGACCTCGGCCAGACGCACCACCACGGCCTGAAGAGTACTGGGCTCCACCGTAGGCGGTCGACTTGGGCCTGCGCTGCTCAACAACGATGTTCTCGCCGTTGACGACATGGGGGTTGGCGGCGACGGCGGCCTTATAGCCGTCGGGGAGGCGAATTCGACAAAGGCGCAGTTCTAAGAAAACACGAGGTTAGCATTTGCAACCTGATCTGGTGATAGTTTTGGTCACGGTGAGCGGTGGAGGGACATCAAGGGACTTACCTTGTCACGGTTGATATCGAAGTAGGTGAGGGCACCATACTGAGCGAGCGCGTTCTTGAGGTCAGCATCCTGGACCTTTTCCGTCACATACTTGACGTAGCCGAGGGTGCCCTTATCCTCGGCCTGGGCAATGATCGACTGGGGCCTGTTCTGCCTCTTGGAGTCGCTACCGGCGGTCTGCCACTCGCTTCCAGACGAGGCGGAGTCCTGGGCAGCAGCGGCGGGTTCGGCACGCTGGGCGGCAGGGGCAGGGGCAGCAGGAGTGGCGGCCTTAGGGGCGGCGGCAGCAGCGGCAGTCTTGGGCTGGGCTGCGGCGGCAGGGGCGGCAGGCTTAGGCAGCGCCGGGGCAGGTCGGGCGGGACCGGCGGCGGCAGCGATGCGGCTAGCCCAGGTCATGGGCTTGGGAGGGCCAGCAGGCTTCTCGGGCTGGGCAGCAGCAGGGGCCGGGGCAGCAGCCGGGGTAGCGGCAGGAGCAGCCTTGGTTACAGGGACGGCGGGAGTAGGAGCGGGCTCCTTGGGCTTCTCGGGGGCCTTGACGGCCTCCTCAGCCACCTCGGTGGAGGCGTTGTCGCGGCTAGCGGCGGCCTCGGAGGTTTCCGACTTGGCGGCCTGGGCCTCAGAGGTCTCAGCAGGAGTCTCCTCGGCGGTATCGGCGGTGGATTCGGCCTTGGCAACCTCCTCAAGCTTCTTGTCTACAGTCTCGGCCTCAAGAGCTGGGGCCTCCTCAACAGTCTCTTCATCCGACGACTCGGATTCGGCGGCGGGTTCCTCAGGGGCAGCCTCGGCGGCAACGGGGGCCTCAGTGGGAGCGGGCTGCTCAGCCGCCTTCACCTCTTCCTGGGTAGCCTCGGCGGCGGGCTCCTCCTCATCATCGCTGATATACCTCCAGATGTCGTTCAAAACGAAGTATCCGGAAGGCTGCTTGGCGAGAACAAAGGTCTGGACGAATTTCCTGGGCTCCTCGGACTTCTTGTTCGAGGTCTCACCGATAACCTGAATGAGAATGGTATCGTGGGAGGAGGCGAGTGCGTCAACGTTGGAGACGCGAACCTTGCATTCCTGGAAATCGAGGTCCTTGAGACGATCCTTGATAGCCTGCAGATGATGAAAAAGGCAGGGATTAGCTACTGTATGCCAAATGCGAAAATGGCGAAAGCCGGGAGATGAGTGAGGAAAAATAAACAAAGGAAAAAAAAAAGAAAAAGGCAAAGGGAAATACTTACAGGACGGCCGACGGAGATGTTGGCGACTTCGGCCTCCTCGCCGAAGACGAACTGAGAGGGCTTGCCATAGAAGAGCTATCAAAGGTTAGCTTGAATGATCCCTCAGCGTCAAGGCGACGCGGGAACGATGAATTGGCATCACCGAAGACGTACATGAAGCTTATCAGGGTTCTTGCTCAGCGTCGTGTAGTACTGCTCGACGAAATACCAGCCTACTTCATCCTTGCTCAGGTCATGGTTGACGCTGTTTGTTTGGGTCTGCTCGGTAGCCTCGCTCGTCGAAGTGTAGGTCTCAGACGTCTTGTACTGATCCTGGTTGTGGAAGCTACCGTTGATGGTGGCCATTTTGATGGTTTGGAGGAAGGGGAGAGGGTTTGAGGATGAGGATGAGGTGAGGAAGCTGTGTCGAGGGCAGAGATGGACACTCTCAGCGCTGATTGAAAGCAAGGAGAGGTAATTTTGGGGGTTTGATTAGATTAGGCCCGAAAATAAAAACAGGCCAGGACAGGATGGTCTAATATCGAGTCCTTAGGAATTTGGGGGAAAGGGTTGGCGAGGGTGGTCGTGATGGTCGGATGGAGGTGCGGATGTTCGGCTGAAGAATTGGGTTCGACAGGCAGCTCTGGAGAGAAACAACTTCGCGTCTCGCAAAAAGGAAGGAAACTGATGGAATCAAGACGAGGATCGAAGGAAACCGAGCTGTGAGATGCACGGATAGATGGAAAACGAGTCGCGAGGATGATGGGGGCGATGCAATGCAAGGCAAAGAGAGGAATGAGAATGATTCACTGAAATGTTGTGAGGAAGGGAATTTTTCAATGTTTGAAGGCGAAGGCGGAAAAAAGTGTGATGGGAGTCAATACACCCTCAAGGCTGCTAGTAACTACTGGGCGACGAGGTACAGCCAGCGCTGGTCCTGCCGTCGCTAGGGAATGTTGGTACACACACACACACACACACACTCAGCGCCGCCACGCCCCGGGCCACAGTAGCTGGGAGAGCAAGTGGCCTGCCTCGCTGCTCAGATCCCGCACTGGTCCGTGCCCAAAGCCTTGGCGGAACATTGAAGAAGCCTTGAGACCTCACGTCCGCCTTTTTCGTGCACTATTGCATGACTGCCCCGTGGAGCCCCGGTACTTGTGGTGCAGGTCGTGTGGTGTTGCGGCTGCTTGCATTTTTCTTCTTGCCTTTCGGGGTTTTGTGGGTCTTTGCCGTGTTTATGTCATCAATCCTTTTTTTCGTGGCAGGTGCCGAGGGCCCCCTGCCATTCTGAAGGGGGTTCTGGAACAGCGGCATACAGCAATTGGAGACACAGACAGCAATGGGGGAGCTTGACCCCAATTCGTCCAATCAGAGAGCTCGAGAGAGGGAGAAGAGAACCCTACACCCAACATCCAATGATATCAGCACAGCTTGCCAGAGGCCAGAGTCTCGGAGAGGGAACAAGGAGGCCCTCCCCCAAAAAAGCACCCTGATATCTGATATCGGACCCGAACTAGGTAGAAGTGGTCTGCCATCCGAACTAGACATTTTGTCATATATTTATAACCACGTCCTGGTTACTGCCCCTTGGCTATCTGTGGCGGATGGAGCTGCATACCTCGACCAATTCGTACCGCATTTGCTATCTCTAAACTCGCCTATATCCCCGTCGCCCGCCTACCATAGTGCCCTACCCTTTGGAGGCGAGGCAAACCCTCTCGAGATGCCTTCCAAATCGCAGCCGAGGAGCCGAAAGCCCCAGCCCCCGTCTCAGTCCCAGTCCCAACCTCGACTCCAATCCGAAGAGCCCAACGCCCTGGCCGACGCGACAACGGCACCCGGAGAGTTCCAGCCCACGCTAGATTGGGTCCTCAAAAAACCACCGAGGCGGCCACCTAGCCCGCCGGCGCGCGTTCGAGCACCGCTGGGGTGGACGGTCGCCTTTGGGTCTGGGTGCTCTTCGTTCACGCCGTAGGCATCGCCTTCTTCACGAGCGGGTTCCTGCTGACGCGACTGGTCCTCGACGACGCCTCCGAATGCGCCGCGCCCCCGATCGACGTGTCGACGTCGGCGACGAAGCTGTGGACGGGCCCCGGCAACGTGGACGCGGGCTGCTGGCACCCCAAGTCATTTAACAAGGCTGTCGTGATCCTCATCGACGCGCTCCGCTACGATTTTACGGTGCCGTCGGGGGACATACAGGACCCCAAGCCCTATCACAACGCGCTTACCTTCCTCCACGAATCCGCCGCCAAGTCCCCGCAGAACGCCGTGCTTCGACCCTTCATCGCGGACCCGCCTACGGCTACGTTTCAGAGGCTCAAGGGCTTGACTACGGGGACGCTCCCTACGTTTATGGACATTGGGTCTAGTTTCGACGGCACCGCGATCGAGGAGGACAATATCCTCAAACAGCTACGCCAACTAGACAAGAAAATCGTCCAACTGGGCGACGATACGTGGTGGGCGCTCTTTCCGGGATACTTCCAACCCAACGAGAGCAAGGCATTTGACAGCTTCAACGTATGGGACTTGCACACCGTGGACAATGGGGTCATGGACCGGATTTTCCCGCTCATGGAGCCAGAGAAGAAGGGTTCTTGGGACCTGCTCATCGGCCACTGCCTCGGCGTCGACCACGCTGGTCACCGCTATGGGCCTGACCACCCCGCAATGAACGCCAAGCTAGAGCAGATGGATGAGTTTATCCGTCGCCTCACGGCCACTATTGACGACGATACCCTACTCATTGTCATGGGAGATCATGGCATGGATAGTAAGGGCGATCATGGCGGCGAGAGCGACGATGAGATCGAGTCAGCTCTGTGGATGTACTCGAAGCAGCCGTTCTTTGGCCGCGCGCAGCCCGAGTACGCGACGCCCCGGCGAATGCCAAGATCCGGCCTGTGAACCAAATTGATCTCGTGCCTACTCTATCCCTCCTTCTCGGTATCCCGATTCCGTTCAACAATCTAGGCCGCCCTATCGAAGAGGCCTTCCTCGGTAAAGACGGAACCTCTTGGAAAAATCTTGCCACGGCCTCGCGGGTCGCGGCGGCAGGGATCAAGAGGTATCAAGCGGCGTATTCTTCGGCGCAAACGTCGGCGCAGGATGCCTCTCTTGGGTCGCCGAGGGCACTATGGGACGCGGCAGAGCAGCAGCTCACGGGCGCGGGCAAAGCAGGCTCCGCCGCGGGGTGGAAGCTGGCTTCTGAGGCCTTTGCCTCATACCAGGTCGAGACTCTGCGGCTCTGCAAGGATCTGTGGGCGCGGTTCGACGCCGCCCGGATGGTGACGGGAATTGGCATCATGGCCATCGGCGTCTTGGTGGTGCTGGTCTACGCCTCGCGGTCGAGGCAGGCACCGCGCGAGTCTGCGCTCGGCCTTCACAGGCGCATTGTCCTCCGAGCGCTCGCGGGACTCGGAATAGGAGCCGCTGGTGGGCTCGGCCTCTACGGCGCGTCGCTGACGGGGAGCCTCCCTAGCGTCGATATCCATTATGTGGCTGCCACCGCGGCCGTAGGCAGCCTTCTGGGGGTGTCAACTAGCCTGGGTTCAGCGGGCAAGACGCTGGGCAATCTACTACCGAGGTCGATCTGGGCGTGGCTGTCGGCCGTGTTCACGCTTAGCCAGTCCATCGGCTTCGCCGCCAACTCGTTCACGATCTGGGAGGATTCCATCTCGCTCTTCTTCCTCGGTACCTTTGGCCTGGTGGCGGCGGCGGCGGCGTTCCGTATCAAGGATGGAAAGGCGCGGTCGCGGGCCGTCTTCCACTCAATCCTTTTCGTCATCCTGGCTCGCGTGGCATCGTACTCGAAACTGTGCCGAGAGGAGCAGATGCCGTACTGCATGTCGACGTACTATGCGTCCACGACGTCGTCGACATCGTCGACGGCCCAGCTCGCGATCCCCTTTGTGACGGCCGTCGCGCTCCCGTTGGTGCTCGCCTCGTCGCTCAAGAAGACGAGCTCGTACGAGGGGTGGGGGAGGAGCTGGATCGGGCACGGGTTGCCGGGGTTGCTGTCAATGACGGCGTTGTACTGGCTCATAGACGCGGCAGACAACGGAGACTGGTTCCCGGAGCTCCCGAGACGATTCTGAAGCGCGCGAGCGTGTCGGTGGCCCTGGGAGTGCTGGGCCTCGTGTTCATCGCGGGCGGACTCATGTTTGCGTGGGGCTCGCCGCTGGTGGGGTGGCAGCCCGTGCAAACGGCCGACGGCAAGACGCGGACGCGCATCGAAGGGTACGGCAACGCATGGGGTAGCCGATACCTGATGCTCCCCGTGATGCTCCTGGTGGCGTGCATCCTGCTGTCGAAGCCGATGGGCGGCGGAGCGCTGGCGCTCATGATGTGGCAGGTGGTGTGCCTGGTGGAGGTGCTCAAGGCGCACGGCATCGCGTCCGAGCCGGTAGGGCCGGTGGTGCTGGGCCTGCTGGGCAACTTTCACTTCTTCACGACGGGCCACCAGGCGGCCATCAGCACGATCCAGTGGGACAGCGCCTTCATCCCGCTCTTCACGATCCGGATGCCGTGGAGCGCGGTGATCATCGTGATGAATTCGTTTGCGGGCCAGATCGTGGCGGCGGTGTCGCTGCCGCTGGTGGTGGGGTGGCTCGCGTCGCCGGACGAGGGGGCCCTGCTGGAGGGTGAGCCGGTCGATGGCCGGGTTCGCGTCGTACTTTTCGGTGCAGTCCCTGGCGACGATGATGTGGGCGGGCCACCTCCGCCGGCACTTGATGCTGTACCGGGTGTTTAGCCCGCGGTTCATGACGGCGGCGCTGGTGCTTTTGACGGTGGACGTGGTGGGCATCGTGGTGACGCTCATGGGGGTCAGGTTGAACGCGCGGGCGGTGTACGATGCGTTTGGATATCCCGAGTGAGCCCTCTGTCGGGTGGTTTCCTTGTCTGATTTTTTTCTTTATTCGCTTTTCCCTCTGTTCTCGTTGGAAACTATGATCATTGCATTGTGACGTCGTCGATACGTCCCCTCAAAACATCTCTCTCTTTCTCTCCTTTTCCTTTGTTCTTTTCTATTTTGCTATCTATGATGTGTATGATAGAACTAGATTTATCGAGACCAAACACAAGGGTTTCCATCACTGGCTTGTCAGATGTCTTCGAGACTTTGGGACAACATGACCTCTCCACACACGATGATGCATTTTCTATACCACTACAATGGGGATGCCGAAGTCGTGCGCGGCGGCACACAACTCTCTCTGATTCGGGCAGCGATTGCTGCTTGGGGAGGCACTTGGACCCTTCATATGTCCACAACCGCCCTAAAAGCAGGAACCAGGTATGTCCATGTTGGCGTAGCCGGCATCACGTATCAGAGAGCTGGGGATGAGACGGAGGCAGGTCCAGCACTGCATGGAGTCTGGTGTTATTGCAACCCCGGCTCATATCTCGATTGTTGTCTTAAAGCCCCAGCCCAACCAGGATGTAGAACAGCGGCGAATCTAATATACCCTCCACCACGCGCCTTCTGAAGACAAATCTCACCGAGCGCGACAAAAGGTAATTTGGGTCGGGCAAGAGACAAAGTCAACCATTTCGCGTGCGCCGTTTTCTTTTTTTTTTTTTTTTTTCGGTTTGGAATATTCACCAGCGAGCTTCGCACTCTATCTTTTCCCCCTCCTTAGCCTTGCTCTCTAGCCTTGTCTTTCCCCGTTGTTTTCTTTCCTTTTCTCTCTCCCAATTGTGGGCTCCTTTTCTTGTTGGTTTCTCTTCTATTATTCGCTCTCTCGTCTCCCCGGTACTTGCTTGCTTGCCTACTTCCCGGGGTGGTGATACGCACAGCACGCGCGGCGTGCATCCATCTTTGAAGAATTGTGTTAGAGAGAAAGGAGCTAGGCCCATTCGTCAATTGATCGCAAAACGGGTGCAAGCGCCGGGTGGTCGGCTGTCGGGGGCGGTGTTGGCGTTGGCATCGGCGGTGCTGGTGCTGGTGCTGGTGTGCTGATCAATTTGCTGGTGCTGGAGTAGTTAGTTCCCCTCCAGTTTAGATTCAGGCGATGGCCAAAAAGGCTGACCAAATCCAACGCCCACCTTTTCCCCCAAACGCCCAACCAAAACACCCACGTCATTCGCATCCAGCCGCTTGACGGCATTTTTTTGTCTTTGGTCCTCTCTGTATCAGCAACCCCCGAAAACAACGTGACGGCCTTTTCCACTACACGCCGATAATAAACCTAGGAAACCCTTTCCCAAGACGAAGGGGAACGAGGGGTTTTTCCAGCGCACACACGCACGCACGCACGCGGACCCACGTCAAACGAGGAGAGAATTAGGCGAGCGAGATTTTGAACCCCTCTTCGAGCTAAGGCGGGAGAGACCACAACAATGGCGTCGGTGACGTCGTTGGACAAAGATTTGCGCAAATTGCGCCTCGACAAATACACCCCCGGAGCCGCCAATGAGGCTCGCTCTTGGATTGAGGGCATTCTCGGGGAGCGCCTGCCCTCTTCTGATCTTTTAGAAGGTCTCAAGGATGGTGTCGCGCTTTGCAAGTGAGTTGATGCCATTCCATCCCCCGGTGCTCGGGCTTGCCTGCTCGACATCCCACCCCAGCCGATGCTTGCCATCGATATCGTCCCTGCTACTAACACTTTCCTTGCCTTTCCCGCCCCCTTTGGACAGACTCGTGAACCTTGCCATCGGCCCTCCGGGCCTCCGGTACAAGCAATCCGCCATGCCCTTTGTCCAGATGGAAAACATCTCACTCTTCCTCCGAGCTTGCAAGGCGCCGCCTCTCAACCTCCAGGAACACGACGTCTTCCTCACCGTCGACCTATACGAGCAAAAGGACCCCACCCAAGTCCTGCAGTGCCTCGGCGCCTTTAGCCGCGTCGCCAACAAGCTTAACCCCTCGGGGTTTCCCTCCGCCATCGGACCCAAGCCCCGCTCCGGCATCATGAGCCCCCAGGCCACCGGCGGGCCTAGCGTAACCACGCCCATTCGCGGGCGAGGCATCTCCAACGCGAGTAACACTTCTTCGGCCTACGGAAGTCGCACCGTCCTCGCGCCGAGCAAGACGGGCGACTCGGGCTCTGGGCGCTGGAGTCCCACCAAGAGCCCAACCAACGGCTCCACGTCGCCCGGCGTCGCGGTTAGCAGCTGGAGCCGCCGGGAGCACGAGGGCAGCACCGCGCCTGCCTGGAACATCTCGCAGTACGGGTACATGGGCGGGGCGAGCCAGGGCAACCTCGGCATCGCGTTTGGTGGGAGGAGGCAGATTACCAGCGCGGGCCCCTTCGTGCCCAGCTTAGCCGATAAGGAGCGCAAGCGCAAGGAGGAGGAGAGGCTCCGGCAGGAGATGGAGGAGGAGGAAATGCGACGCAAAGCCGAGCTCGAGGCCGAGGAGGAACGACAGAGGCGGGAGGAGGAGCGCAAGTGGGAAGCGGAGACGAACCGGTTGCGCGAGCAGGAGCGGAAAAAGGTCGAGGAGGAGAAGCGCAAGTGGGAGGAAGAGGAGCGCATGTGGAAGCTGACTGAAGAAAAGAGGCGCCGCGACGAAGAGGACGCCCAGGCCAAGCTGGAGGCGGAGAGGACGAGGACGAGGAGTCGAAGCCGTTCGGCACTCCGCGGCCAGTACCTGAGCCAATACCAAGCTGAGACGGGCGGCGCTTCGGGAGGAGCCGGAGGAGGTGGCGGTAGTGGCGGCGGCGATACCGCGTACTCGGATAGAATCAAGGAGCTGGAAAGGAGCTAGAGCTCGCGCGCCAGCGGGAGCAGGAGTACGAGCGCGAGAGGCAGCAGACTCCGGGTCGACGACCGGCGTCCCGCGCGGAAGAGCAGCAACAGCAGCAACAACAGCAGCAACAACAGCAACAACAGCAGCAGCAGCAGCAACAGCCACAGCAAGGGTCGAGAGCTCGATCGCGCAGCCGGCCACGGCCCCTAGCCGCCAGGACTCGTGGTCCCGGGACCAGCGCGAGTACCTGACCGTCTCGCCCCAGCCCCAGCACGCGCAACGCTTGCCGCCGCCCCAGCAGCCGTCTCCGGACCCACACAAGTTCGCGGCGCCCGCCCCATATCGCCCCGCCCGCTCCCGGACCCGGCGTCGGCGGCGGCGGCGGCCCTCTCGTCCTCGCCACCCAAGGTCAGGACGCACAACACGGGAGGGCGTCCGCTCCCCAACCCGGCAGCGTACGCGACCGTATCGTCCCCGCCTCCTGCGCAGGTTTCGGGGCCCGCGTCTTCGCCGGCTGCCCCGCTTCCGTCGTCGTCGTCGTCTGGGCCACCCCTTCCGTCGAGGGAGCCTGGTAGGGGCCTCCTGCGTCGGCGGGCCAGCAACCTCCGTCTCATCACCAGCCGCCGCCGCAAAAGGGTTTTGGCAGCAGCGTCCGGCTCAACAGCAGCCTCAGCAGCCTCAACAGCCGCCGCGCGCTTTACCACAGAAGCAGCAGCCGTTGCCGCAGCATCACCAGCCGCCTCACCACCACCAACAGCAGCAACAGCAACAGCAACAACAACAACAACAACAACGCCAACCGCCGCCGCAGCAGCAGCAGCAGCAATACCACCCGCCTCCGGCCCAGCCTGGAAACCGCACGGATAGGTACATGGTAGCGAACCCGGTCCCTAAGCCGGCGGTGGCCGCGCCCACGTATTCTCGCGAGCTCGGCGCGACTGCGGAACGTGACGCCGAGGACAGGCGGAGAGCCCAGCGGCAGGTGGACACCAAGGCGGGCGGGCGGGCGAGCAAGTCGCTGCTGGAGCGAGAGATGGAGATGGAGCGCCAGCGCCAGCGCGAGTGGGAGGAGGCGCAAAGGAGACGGCCAAGGCGGCGGCGCGCCCGGGAGCCACGGAGGGCGGCGTGGACGGCATTGGGGTGGCGTGGGCGGACGGTGGGACGTCAGCCAGTGGTCGGGCTACGCGGGAGGTGATAGCCAGAACAAGGTTGGCACGGGCATCGGCGCGGGGAGGAGGCAGATTGTTGGCCCGAGACCGTTGCCGGGACCGCCGCGGTGAAGAGGAGAGAGATGAAAATGCTTGGGGAGGGCTTCGTTGGGCATCGTCATCCTCGATGCGATAGTGCCGCCTCTTATTTTTCTTTTCAAAAACATCATTTACTTTGTTCGGTTTTTTTTTTATATTCTTCTTCTTACAAGAGTCTTCTTCATTCTGCCCGACTTGCTTTCAAGGTCGGTTTCTAGGGGTTAAAGGGGGTGGTAATTCTTGTACACATTCAGTGATTAGGTGGCGGCAAGCTGAGAGTCGCCATTTCAAGTTAAACAGCGGAGAAGACTAATCTTTTTCTCTTCTTTCCCTTGACCCTTCTTCTTCATCGTCTCCCCTGCCTTCTTTGTCACGCGAAAGCTTACATCTACGGTGATCACATTGTCGAGGCACGAGCGAGGTGGAGGCAGCTAGATGGTGGTTCGGGGACGGACTCCAGCCGTATCAAGGACGATGCGCGTCCGCTGGCAGCCGTAAAATTCAGACTAAAAGACCTAATAGTCACATTGATAGATACAAGACCACGCTTTTAGGAAAAGGAAGGGAAAAAAAAAGAGAAAGAAAGGAGAAAAGAAATGAAAAAGTTGAGGAAACAAACGCGCGTGCTGATAATGCTGTTGGGAAACAAAAATGCAAAGATGATGTATGCAAAATGAGAAGAAGAGATATGAAAAGAGATCAAAACCCAAGTCCTGAACCCAAACCCATATTATGTCTAACCTGTCTAAGAACGGAAGAAGAAGCGAAAGAAAAGATGGAACAGATAAAGGAGAAAGAAGGAAGACAAAGGAAAGAAAAGCATAAGAAAAGTAGGAAAAAGAAGAAAATCCTCCTAAAAATCAAACACCGTGCTAATGTGAAGACTATCATAAAGACAAAGATTCGAACAGAAATTGGAGAAGTGAGAAGTGAGTGGAGATGCCCCTCCCTCCCGCCGCCCTGGTTCGCATTCTCTCAAGCTCTCCGCCGTGAACCGTGAGAAGAACCTTTTAGGAGAGGCAGGGATAGGAGAGAGGGTGATAGGTTAAAATAAGGTGCTCATTCCCAAGGTAGTGCAGGGTGTGTGAGCGGGTTTGCTGGAGTGCGCGTGCAGCTGTGGGTGTCGGGTGGGTGTAGATATGGCCGGCTGCAAGTGCGCAGTTGGGCAATGTGTTGCGGCCCGGTCTGCATTGGTGTGTGCAATTGACGCGGGATGTGCGCAGATGTGCAGAGTCGACATGTTGAGGGCGATGTAAGCGGCGACGTTGATGCGTTTGGCCAGTTATACGCGCGTATATCGATTGATTGGTGAAGTTAATTTCCGGGGACACGACCGACCACCACTGGATCCGGATCGAAACCCAGGGCGAGGAAGACTAGATCCCTAGATGTCGATGGCGGCGCAGCGCACTTTTTTTATACTTTTGTATACTGAGGTGAAACTCGTCGGACGAAATGGCCTGTGTAGTCTTCGCAAGGAGGGCAACGGCAACCGGTCGGGCCTTGTCCGACAAGAAGGCAAGATGGTGACTTTAATCCCCGTAGACTAATGGGAGGTTAGCACAAAAGTGTTCAAAGCAGCACGGTGTGTAAGTGATGGGACAATGGGCTCTCGACTTACATGGGTCCGAGGGCATCGGGCCCTGAGGATACTGGCTGCCCTGGCTGCCACCGCCGGTGGCGCCAAAGGTGTCGTCCTTGGTGGAGAGAACACCGGGTCGCTGATGGCCGGCAGCAGGTGAGTGCTGTGCCTGTCGCGGCCACAAGGCCGCGACCGGGGCGGAAGTTGAGACAACGGAGAGCGACATGACGAAGGCTAGAGGGTGTTGAGCGCGTACAGGAATGGGAGGGAAGTGGTGGATCAATATTGGTCTCGTGTGTCTCGCGGGTATGTGAGGTCGTAGATGTGGGATGTGGGATGTGGGATGTAAAGAGTATTGAGGTGAGTAGCGATGAGACTCAGTAAAGCAGGTGGTCTTCTTCTTATACACGCGTATGTTGAAGAAATTGTACAAAGAGATTGGGCAGAATAGAGTGAACAACTTTGCCATTGATGGATGGGCTTTTCTGCTATGCGCCTCCTTGAGTGTAAGGGGCGCAGGGCCGCCGAGTATCAACTTCATCAAGAAGGTTGTCTCACTTCACCTTTGGAAAGTTTTATTACGTAGTCCCTTGCACCGAAAACTGAGGGCACGGAGACCAAGACGATGGGCACGATCAGGTACATGTAGTGTATAGTTACAAAAGGAAGAGTGGCCTCGCCACAGGCGGATTGATACACAGATGCGTAGTAGACAATGCCTAAAGAAGCCCTTCTCCCCTGGTTCCAGGAACGATCGAGGCAATGCACAGTCGTGGACATTAGGGGATAACACACACACACACACACGTACAGATACATACACTAAACCTAAAAGGGCGTACCGTACCCAATCAACTTGGTGTGCGGGTCAGGTTCTGTGGGAAGTTTTCGGTAACGGCGTTAAGGCAGTGAAGGTCGCCCGTGATACCTTTTTTTTTTTTTTTTTTCCTAAGACACTCACAGGGCGGCGATGGTTATGAAATAACAAAAGAATTGTCCAGGGCCTATGAACGTCGTAATAAGGCGAGAAGGCAGACTCAAAGGCAGAGCGACAAGATAGAGGCAACCCGAGGCAAGCTGGGGGCATCGACACCCGGTGAGACCTTGCGAGATTGTGTGATCAAGAATCCTGCCTGATAAAGCAGAATCGACCCTCAAGCTCTAGCCTCCACCAAGGGATTGGACGTGAAGACTCCTGTGGGCGGTTTAAGACACCAACAAGGTAGGCGCTCGCTTGCGCACCTTTGCCTGCAGGGGCCGCAAGAGAGGAGGATGATGGTGCGTTGGGGTCCAACTTTGCATCCCAGATGAAGAAGAGCTGCATGGTGCTCGGTGTATACACATCTGTTACCTCTTAAGCAGCTACCCGGCACGAGGAACCCGAGCACCCTCTTCGTTGCGTTTGGGGGCAGGAGAACCACCCGAGGCCTCCGGGCCTCAAACATGCATGTTTAGAAGGTATGGCTGGGGACTTTGAGAGTATGCCTTTTGCCATACACTTGTTGAAGTGCGACTTGCAACTTGCGACTTGCGACTTGCGAGGGCAATCAGCCCCGTTCGAGGCAGCAATGGCTACTTTGCCCATGTATGGGAGTCCCTCTATGGACCGAAGGGGGCCATTCTTGATCGTGCAATTGGTGGTGACATCCATCCATGGATGTATTGACTGAGGCAGGCAGACCTGGAAGCCCAGCAAAAGTACACGCCGTATACCAAAGTACACTCCGTGCTGGAGGGTGTGTGTGTGTGTGTGTGTGTGGTGGGGGAACTGGAGGGAGGCAGTGGACACTTGTGCCTTGAGAATCACAATCCCCGAGCCTCGAACTACAGTTGACCTATTTCTTTGCGCCCAAATGGCAGGGGCCGAGGGGGCCCACCACACCTTGGATGAACTCGTGGAGACTCTGGCATAAAACGGGGATCAGTAAGAACCACATGGCCTGGGGAGTATTTGAGGCGAGAAAATGGATGGTGGTCGCGCGAGCACATCAACCGTGAGCAGTCTTGTGACATCGAATCCGCTGGCGGTGCGTACATGGGTCAAGTTGACATGAAGGGAAAGAAAAGGAAAGAAAGGTGAACAAAGACAACATTGAAGTCCACAGCGATTAGGCCCCCAAAATTTACAAATGGCGACACTGTCGTCCCTTGGACGGATCCAATGGATGAGTCAATCGTTGGTGTTCGAACTTCGTCCTCGTAGCCTGCACCTACAATTGTTGCGTCATCAAAGCAAATGTCGGCACCCTCCCCAGCATCTTGCGACCCCATCTCTTTGGGGTACAAGCCCAGAACCGCCACAATAGGGCAGGCTCCGGCGTGGAAAGAAGGGTTGCCGGAGACCCTCGTCTTCCCTTTTCCAGCAAAATAGGAAGAAAGGAAGAGCGAGGGCCTGGCGTTTTTCTAGCACGCAACTTGACCGGATGGCAAGTAGGAATTGTGTTTTACAAGCCGGTTGATTTATGGTGCGCGAAAATGTGTTGGAGAAGAAAGGGGAAGGAAAAGAGAGAAGAGAAAAACGAGATTTGAGATTTTATTAGTATTCCCAGGATCCAGGACCCAGGCTGCCAGGCTGCCAAGCTCCATAACTGCTGTGCCAACCCGTGCACATAAACTCTTTGGCGCTGTACAGCAGTGCTCTACAGGTGCTGGCGGCCTGTGCAGCCTGTGCAGTTGTTCACGTGACAACGGGCACTTCTGTACTAAGTCCGTCGGTGTGGGCAGGAAGAGCAAAGACTTGTGGCGGCAGGAGCTCACTCCAGAAGTGGATTTATTAGCAGAGAGACCAAATTGTATTTAATGTGCGCGCAATCTCCAAAATATAAATTTTTCAATTTCCTTTTTCCCCTTTTAACTCTTGCGTCTTGTCAACCTGGTGCTGATTGCAACCATTCCTTTCTCCATTTCATCTTCCTTTTTTCTTTTTCTCCCTTCTCATTCATGCCCAAACAAATCCTCTCACTCCTGACCGGAATTTCGCGACGATTGCTTGGTGGCTCTTATCCAAGGTTGACACGATGGGCAAACCAGACACCGCACCGAAGAAGATACAGTTCTGATCGTGGCAGGGGATCAAGGGCGATGGGCAGCAAAAAAAAAAGCCACGAGCAAACCGGCATAGTCGAATGCTCGCCACCTCCCTTGACCACGTCGCTCCTGTTTTTTTTTTTCATGAAATGTGGGCGAAGTCAAAAACGTGGCTTTTGCGCAGCTGGTGTACAGAGTCGGGCACCGACGACGAGGAAAATTTTTCTTTGATTTTCGTATCACCGACCAGGGTCTTTGGGATGTCGAGTCAACTCCGCCACGCGACTGCATCGTGGAAGATGAAAATCTGCCCTGGCTTGACCTTCATCATCTTGCCCGGTTTCATTTTGCTATCCCCCATCCCCTTTTTTCCTCTTTTTGCTTTTGCTTTTTTGCGTGTTTTTATTTTTCGGTTTCCTGACCTCGTAAGCCCTCGTCTGCCTCGAACGAGGGAGAGGGGAAGAGAAAGACAGAAAGAGAGAGAAGAGAAAAGCGACACCCACAATTTGCCTACACCCTCTGGCTTCAATCCGTTTGGTGTTAACTAGATTATTTCATTCGCAAGTGGGAGATTGAACCAAAGGGTCTAGACAACCCGTCCGCTCCACCCTGTTTTCGCCGTTATTTTGATGCGGCCCCAGGACTAAAATCGGACATACATTCTCGCGTGATATTCTTTTGTTTGTAATCTAATACCACAGCGCACAGTTGTGTTGCCCATTTCCACATCAGTCATGGTCTGCTCCCCTGTGTCGCCTGGAACCCAAACTTATCAGGCGAGTGCATCCGTATCCATGACCTTGTTCAAGATCCGCTCAGGGAGAACTCTGTGTCACGTCAAGCACGAGCGTTGGCTCACCTTTAGCTACGCGAGTTCTCAACGATTGTCGTTCAACATGACATGTAATATATCCCTAGAGAGGCATATCTCTATAATTGCGTAGATACAGACCAGCCTGTCGCTGGATCATGGCATCGCGATGCGCTCGCCTCTCGACATCCAATGTTGTTACATGCATGGACACCAATGGATATGCTCCGTTTCCCAGAGTAAAGAAAACAAACAAACGCCTGGCCCTGCATCCTCTCTACTGGCCGAAATATTTAAGAAATAAAAAGAAACGAAATCTTTTCAAGAGCCCTGACCGCTCAGATTGCCTCGAGATGCCGCCCCAAGACCAAGTACAGAAGATGCTAGAGAGAAGGGAAGGAGTGGACCGAAAAAGTCGTAGATAGCAAAGTGTGTGACCGATACGGGATGGCTCTCCGTCATCCGTCTTGCCTAGACCAATACCGCGTCAAACGTATCCTCGTCAAAAACATACTGCTCATCCGTAAAGGACAAGAGAAACCTAGACGCCAATTTGCCCAAGTAGCTGTACGCCACGTCTCTGGGGTATGGGTGGGATTCGTCATTTGGCAAAATCGGCTTGGCAAGCGTCTGTAAATCCCTGCCCATGACTTTGAAGAAAAAGGATACATTAGCACCCACGTGAATCGAGTTGAACAGTCAAACAACATCAAGCCCTTCCTTTTGGGAGAGGGGGGCCTCTCGCCAACGCTTATCTTCAATAACACTTACAGCGATCTCCTTCAATCAACAACTTCAGCGAGTGCACGAGCTGCACCCCGCCTTATCAAGCCCCTCGCCCGCGGCAAAGTTTTCGTCAAGAAGGGGTTAAACGATTTGGCCGACACGTCCTTCGAGTGCGTCTGGTATATTTGGTGAAACTGGTAGAGGAACTGGCGAAACGGCAGCTTCTCGATCTCGTCATTGATGCGCAGCGCCTCGGCGCGCTTAAACTCGGGCGCTTGGCCCTCGCGCCTCTTGACCTCGTTGTCACACACGACGAAATTGTCCGCCGCCGTCTCCACCGACTCCATAAACAGGCAGAGCACGAGGAAGGCAGCCAGGCACGGCGCCCACTCCCCTTGGCCTTGGGCTTGAGGCTCTTGGAAAAGGCCTCGAAGAGGCGCTGCACCTCGCGCTGCATCATCTCGTCCAGCACCGCCTTGATCTGCCGGTTGAGCAGCCGCGGCGTGACCCACACGAGCCCCTGCGGCACGAGGTTGGTGTCCCGTAGGTCGACGACGCTCCGCCGCGTCATGCACAGGTGCCGCGTGAGGATGTAGTGCAGCGTGTACACGTTCATCGCCCGCCTCACAATGGCGGAATTTGTTTGTGTCTGGTAGGTGTTTACGATGCGGAGAATGCGCCTCGGCACGTCCGTGTCCAGAAACGTTTCCGTCAGCTGTTCAGCGTACTCGGGCTCCCGGAGGATGGCCGCCACGTATTCCTTGCACTTCTTCTTCAGGTCGTCCTTGGGGCCGTCGCCGTCGCCGTCGCCATTCCGGCCCTGCTGCTCCGGGTCGATACCGATGGGCACGGCGTTTCGGAGTTGGAGGTCCACTCCGGCCCGGTCCGAATTCAAATGCCACTGCTGTAGCACATCCGTCGTCTTAGGGGTGAAGAACTTGCCCTGTATCCTCAGTACCGTCCGGAACCGCGTGCCCGAAAAGAGCTCCACCGTGCACGTTGGCCGCTCCAGACCCTCCACGCCAAACTTTTGAATGTTGTCCGAGATGAAACGCGCCACCTCCTCCTTGGCGAGGTGGCTCCGCATGAACTTAGGGAAGAGAACGGGGAGGAAGTCGGGGAACTGCCAGCACACGATTTGCGGCACGTTGCCCGCCAGCTTCTTGCAGTTCCGGCAGGGCCGCACCTTGTCGCACTTGACTTTGCGGCTGTGGCAACAAAAGCACGCGCCGAGCCGGCGCACCTGGAGCGCGTTCTCCTTGATCGCGTTGTCGAGCGGTCCCTTGCGGCCCTTGTGCGACGTGCTCATCATGGCTTCGAAGCACTCGAATGGGTTGGGCCGCCCCGAATGAGCGTTGATCGTCGTCGGCGTCATGACGACAAAATTGTCCGTCTGCCCCGACGCCGTGTTGTGCATCGCCGCCGCCGCTGCCGCCGCCGTCGTCTTCTTCTTCTTCGCCTTGCTCGTCGTCGGTGCCTTTTCCACCTTACCATTCTTGACCTTTCGGATCGGCATCACCGCCGCCTTGCCGCTTGCCCCGGCCTCGATCATGGGAGACGGGGAGCTCTTGCTTGAAGAAGACTGGCTGGCTAGAGATGGCGACAGCGAGCTTTCCACGACGGAATCCAAGTTGATGTCGTGCGTCTCCCATGGGGACATATCGGTGCGGAAGTCGATCAGGCCCATATCGGGTTGCGGAGAGGTTCTTAGATCGGCTAGGACGGAAAAGTCGTCCGAGCCAGGGAAGCCGTTGAGGAGGATAGGATCTTGAATGAAACCTAGTAGAAAAAGAGCAAGAATGAAAAGCTTGCATTAGCGCGCGCGCACCCACGCACACCCACTCACGGTCTTTTTGACACGGGAGAGAATGAAAAGAGAAAAGAAAATATCAAGGTACAGGGAACCTAGACTCACCATTCATCGGCGCATTGGCAAACAACAAATCATTCGGCGCCACACCGGCAGGCGCCGCACCAACCCCGGCGGATCCCATGAACAGCGGCGCCGACTGTATTGACGGCGACCCCAAGGCAATAGCCTGCGCCGCGAAGCCGGCACCCATACCGGGAGGAAACCGGCCGCAGAGCCTAGGGAATACGGCGAGCCGTCGGACAGGTCGAGGAAACCGGGCGACTCGGGCGCACCGACCACCGCCTGACCGCGGCCTATGATGGCGTATCCGTTGAGGCTCCCGCTCGCGGGTGACGGGAGGAACCCTATGGAGTCGGGACCGGAGCCGGCGCCCATGCTCGTGTAGTCAATGTACTGCCATGATTCCTCCGAGTCGCTCCGGGGTCGTATGGCGACGAGGCGTGCGGTGAGGGACCGCGGGACATGGTGGATGCCATGACACGCCCTCCTTGGGTGGTTTGTTTGTTTGCTTCTCGTGTCGAGTGTGCTTTTCCCTATCGGCGTCCTGTCCGGGAGGGTTTCGGTTTGCTATAAGTTGTCCTCTTTCTTTCGTTCCTCCTTTCCTTGTTCTCGAGCAGGTTCGTAGGCTTGGTCAGCCCTTCCGCAGCCCAGGGTCTAAGTAAGTAAAAATAGAAAATAGTGTAAGAAAACTGTAGTTCCTATGTTGATCAGCTCGTCAGCTTCTGGCGCACTTGTGTCGTTGGTCCGCCTAGAGGAGAGCAATCGTCGAATGTGGAGCAAGTCCGCCCAATTGGTTATAATCGCCCCACGAAAGATCGCAAAACTAACCGCAGCCTTGGCCTCGTCTTCTGTTTTCTCACTCGGTCTCCAATGGCTCGAACCGCGTGTCCAAAGGAAAAAAGCCTTGCGAAAAAAAGATATCGCAATCAAATTATCAATTCTATAGTCTCATTCCCAAGCCTGGCAACAGAGGGGACCTCCGTTGGAGGAAACCTCTCCAGCCCCGCGACACGACACGGGGAAGTCCTTTATGTTGGATCAAGTACAAAATGATGCGGCGCTCCCCTCCGCTCATGTGCGCTAAGCCGCATTAGGATACCGAAGGGCATCGGAAGGGTAGTGGAGCCTGGCTTGCCACTCCGCTGGAAGGGACGAGTTGGTTGACCGAGAGCGGGACATCCAAGGACAAAGGGCCAGGCCCGGTTACGGTCGACGCGGGAGACGGACTTCGTATCCGTTTGTAACAAGCAGACAGGTATTATAGGGATAAAAGAAAAAAGGACGGGCAGTCTTCCTCTCTTTCTTTTATTTCATTCTTCTCTCATTGAGATTTTATTAGTGACCTTGCCATTGCCATCGCCCACCGAGGACTCCGGTTGCGACAGGGAGTAATCTCGTCAGCCCGTCACGCCGGCTTGTTTCGCACCACCGCGTGGGCAAACGGATACACCTGATTGGCCAACATATTCAGTCGGTGATGAAAAAGGCAAGTCACGACCTCGTCCATATCCCTCGCAACTGCTGTTCCTAAGGACCTTACCAATGATCTTTCCCCATCAATACCGTGAAAAAGTCATTGGGGGCCCTTCATGCCTGCCAATTAATTTTTTGGCACAATTATCAGTGCAACTGATGATTTTCCTTTGTTAAAAGCGGGAGGGGCAGAGCAAACCCCTCCCCTTCACCTTGGATACTCCCGCCGGAACCCTTCCGATAGCCCTCACCACTCGTAGGAACCCCCGCCTCTCAATCTCAGCTGCGGCGTGGGAAAAAGAAATGTCGTGCTTCCCCAACGGAAACATGCCTACTGCGCAAATCGGATTTCGTAATACTGCCTGAGCTCTTCCCTTTGCAAATAGCGGGGCTCGGCGTGAGAAGACGACGCACAAAACTCATCCACTCGGCGTTACCGGAGGCTAGCCTACGTCCTCCCGGCATTGATCCATTGCATTGAGCATTAATAAGTTGCTCCCAGGCTCGGGGACCCTCAACATCGCATCACGTCAAATCTTCAATGTTGTCCGCCTCACTTTTCTCTCACATGTTGACCTCACCAATGCAAGTCATTTCCCCACTTTCCCCGGCACACACGCCAACATCGTAGATAGTGATAGGATCATGGATCTACAAGTATGTCCGGTGCCAGCCTGCCTACCTACCCCTCCCTCACTCTCCCTTCTTCCCCCTTCTAATTCGGGAGGGAGATGGTCGGTTGCACAAGATTGATGTGCTGTTCTGGCCAAGTGCAGGTAGGCAACCAGGCCGTGACGAGGTCGAGGGCACGCGACACAGAGCTTCGTTCGGCCCCCTCGACCCGTCCATCTAACCCAATCGCCTGGGGAAGAGCAAAGAGACGAGTATGATTCTATGGATGCCGTCTCGCGGGACTACCGGGTAGATGGTTCACCGGTTCCCCTCCCGCCAAAAAGACCCCGCCACGAATTCGTTTCTTGAGATCAATTGATGACGTTGGGCACCGGCACCAGGCGCGACCCCTCCAATTTTGCGGCATTGATGCCCCAGCCGGACCCTCGTTCCAATCAACTCTCACGTGCTGACGAATACACCAACACCATCTTTTTCTGCAGATAGATATGGATCTTTTCCATCTCTGGGCCTCTAGATGCCCCCCTCGAAAATTGATTGAATCCTTGAGTAACCGACCGACTTCCAAATACATGCCGCGCTTATAAACTATCTGGGAGGCAAAGAGTTCGTGAATAAGAACAAAAATAAAATAAGATGAATAGAAAAGAAGAGGGGAATTGGCGAGGGGAAAAGGGCAGGTGTCGAGGAACAAATCTGGGCTGAACAAAACCCGTAGGGTCCTTTCCCCGTCGAGTGCAGCGCTTTGCTCTGCAAGATGAATGCCATTGTCATTGTTGCAAGTGCCGGGAAACTCGTCACCTTCTAGATATCGCATCCGAGGGGAGAGGGCAAGTATCATCACAACGAGAGGAACCGCGTCCGAGTCCACCTCAACCTCCGCTTCTCCGTACAGCTGCCGTGATGGCCAACGCCAAAAGACAATCGCTAGATGCTCTTATATATATATACCGAGGTAGATGCATTCAATTTCTGAGAGGGAAAAACAAAAATGAGACATGGATCAGGGACCAACCGCCCGCGTGAGCTGATGGGGGCGCTTGTGTTTAAAAAAGGAGTTCTGGCATTATGCAGGATGCGAACGAATACAATGAGCGCAAACCAAATCCGCAGCATGTCAGGCTATGCAAAAAGAAGAAGAAGAGAACATGAAAATAGAGAAAACCACGAGTGCAAGACGCGAAAGAGGAGAGGAAAGGGGCAGGAACGGGGAGGCGGGGAAATGGGGAAATGGGGAAAAGAAATCCCACCAAAAACAAAAAGTTCTAATGCCAGGAATAAGTTTGTGTTCTGTTCTGCGAGGCGTGGGGAGCAATGATCAAACTAAGGGACCTCTAAGTAGTTGACTAGGTGTAGCAGTGAATACACCAGAGAATCGTCATTCATCCCCCTCCATGTCCCAATGAAAACATAAGAAAAAGGAAAAGGGAGAAAAAAAGGAACCCAAAGTGTCAGAGACTTCATTGAAGAGAGGTTGAATGTATAAAACGAAAGAACAAGACGAAACAAGGACGGATAGGGTATAACGTCATTCAAGAAACATGATCAAGTGAGAATAGCAGAATCAAGCACGAAGCAATCCTAATCCTACCCTTTTCATACCAGCCTCTGAAACCTGGATGAAGGCTGGGAAAAGAGAAAAGAACATTGAAGGGAAAGGGAGGGAGCAGTGAGGGTTGACAAGGGCAAAACTAGGCTGGGAGAACAGGGGACCCCCACCCTTTCTCTCAAGGACTGGAAGAAAAATACGAGAGCGAAAGGACGACGAGAAAGAACAAGGCATATCCCAAGGAAGACGCTCTACCAGGATCAAAACAAGAGGCGTGAAGAAAGAAAAAAGGAGGGGGAGACAGCAAGAGAGGTGAGCAAGTGTATTTCTCAGCCGCGGTACCGTGCCGGTGCTCGCTCGTAAATCTGCCTCTCTGTCGATGCATAGAGCTTGTCCAAGTAATCCATTGCACCCGCATCTTTCAGGATCTTAGCTACCTGTATCCCCGCCGACAGGAGCTGCAAAACGTGCCTGTCGTCCTTGAGAGGACGTCGCTGTATGTATTGCCCGTTCTTCATCCCTAGAGCACCCTGTCCTGGCCCGATACCCGCCCCGGCTCCCATCGGCGCGGACGACGGGGTGGCTGAGGACGGAGCATACCGCATCTCGAGAGAGTGTTCAAGTGTAGGTACAAACTGCTTGATCTGGGCGTTATAGAGCACGCGTGCCGGTATCCGCCTCTTGGTCGCCAATCTCTTGAGAAGGTATACCCACTCTACCCACTCCCGGTCCAGCGCCTTCTCCACAGGCCGTGTGTTGGGCGCTAGCGGAATCGGAAATTGATACTTGGCCACAAAGTCAAACGCGCACTGGGAGAGCCGCTCGTTCATCTGCCGCAGGATATAGTCCTGCTCCTGGATCGGAAGGTTGGTCGGAAGGTGCGGCAGGTCGCGCTCCTGCATCGCCACATACTCCGCCGTCGGCAGTTGGAGGAAGTGGTGCGGCCCGTCGAATTCGTCACGGTTGGATGGACGCCTTTGCGCGGGCCGGCCGCCGCTGATCTCCACGCCTCCTCCGCGTCCGGCACGGTACCTCGGACCGGCAGGTGGCGAGGCCGGACCTACATCGTTGTCGAGAGAGCAGTCTGAGAGGTTGGAGGACGCGATAATGTCGTCCACCGAGTCCGTAGGAGAGTACATGGCACTCTGCGAGTTCCAGACGGCTCCGCCGCCATTCAACGGGCCATATCCCGAGTTTGGTTGCGGATGGAACCCTACCGGCGTCGGCCGTCCAGGCGAAAATTGACGCGCGGCTACCGGTATGGGAAAACTGGTCTCAACTCGAGGAGGTGGAGCGTGCCCATTCATCCCTATCGGGAGATGGTAAGGTCGGAAGAAAGTGCGGCCCTAGGAAAATACTTAAGCGATCCATGGCCAGATAACTCGTTGTGGGGGTTCTCCCCAACGGGGAGTAAAGGGTAGGAATGAACAGGGAAGTGCAAGAGGCGGGAGGAGGGGAGGGCCAATTCCAAACTGATCGGCACATGCCAGGCTCTCAGGTCAAGGAGGGAAAGTGGCGAGGGCAAGGAGGAAAAAGGCGCGGGAAGCAGAAAGACAAGGGAGAAGGGATCGACGGCTTTGACCTACCCTGATGGTTGGGAGTAAGTGCGACTGGGAGGACTACTACCCCGCCGCGCATCCAGATAAACAGGGCTAACAGAAAGCCTCGTCAGTATGTAGCCCTTGTGAAAATCATTTCGATGCCCCCATGTACCTGCAGCATCATGTGCTGCCCACACCTACCTCCGCGACGAGTTCCAAAGTGCCGCCCCCGGACCCGGGCTAGCGACACTACTCCGGAAGGGGTCCTGGTGGGTGACCTGTCTCCGGCTCATGATGGAAGAAGTAAAGTTTTCTCTTTTGTTCTTCTCTTCACCTTTATGTTCTTTGGAGTTCCTCTTCTGCCTGGGTTCACAAAGGTCTCCAAAAGAAAAAAAAAGAAAAAGAGGTCGTCCAGAGAGGATCAAGCAACGCTGACAGAATCGCGGCAGTAGAGGGAAGGAGTGCGTCTCAAAATTCAACCGGAGCTTCTGCAAAGGGGGTTGCGAAGGCCAGATGGGAAGAAAATCCGGAAACAAGAACCTGATGAGTTCGAGGAAGATCCAGAACAGTGATGATACACCTGGTGCGTAGCCCGGGGGAAAGAACGAAGGAAAAGAGGAGAGTGCAAAGACACCCGAAGCTTTCCCTCAGAAACGCAAACCTAAACCCGATCGCTTCGGCGCCAAACTCAGAAATGGGAACCCAATCTCGTTCCCAGCGTAAGGCAGCTCTGGCCCTGGTGCATAAAAACGGTGACTCGAGGTATCCGGCAAATGAGGAGGGACAAGTTTCTGCGAACACTCAGAAAAACAAAAATAACAGCCAGCAAGATGAACAAATCAGAAAATAATAAAAGGAAAAAGAATGCCCTCCAAGGGTTAGGTATCCAGGGTATTCCAAGGTCCGGCCAGTGGTTTTGGTATCCTGGGATGCGTCCTTGTTCTTTTCTGGACGCGAAGTCTTGCGTCTGGTGGTTCTCCCACGGTTTTCCTGTGGCCTGTGGTGCCGAAGCGTCTTGTAGTAGTGGGGGAGGAGGGTTTAATTTGGTAACCAAATCTGGATATTTAATTCTGCATCGCTGGCTTAGGAGACTGCCAGGTGGCCCAAGGACAACCCAATGCAAGCAAAAGCTTGGGGGGATGGGGTGTACGAAACAGAGGAGGGTCCTTCAGGCTGGGACTGGATTGGGACCTCGAAAAGAGGAAAGCAGAAAAGGGAAGGGAGAAAAAAAGCCTCACGAGGTGATGTGGAGCTGGACGAGGATACAAAATGGAGACAACGGGTATCTTGTCGTATTGCGAAGCGAGCCGAAGCCGAGAGCAGCAGAGCGGAGAGAGAGAGCGAGAAATAGAGAGAGAAAAAATCAAGATATTGATATAATGTGAATTTTCTAACGTGTGGGCTTGGATGAGAAATAGCCTAGTTAGAGGGTACAATAAGGGGAGGGGAGTTCGGGTGAGCATTGCTAGTTCGGAATGGGGATTGTTTTATGTTGGACTTTCAACGGCTCCTGCTGCGCAACGGGGTCGTGGATTTAAAGCCAGCAACACCCCACCTCGATCGCCGTGGCCACGGAATCCCAGCAATGGATCGAAACTCGAATTCGCTTGCGTCAATGGTGGCCACTGTTCAATAGGCTAAGCTCTCAGCGACTGGATGAGACGAGCAAGGAAAGTCGGTGCCGTTGTCCTTCCGAGGCCAACAGGCGACGAAGACAGGGGAATCCGTGGCTCCGGCGGCTTGTAAGTGGAGGAGAGATCCGAAGCGCCGTTTGCTCTCGATCCTCAATGTTGTGCTGGCCGATGACCCTGGGTAGGTTCAACCCCGGGGTCCCGTCCGACACAATAACAGGACAACGCTGAACACACCCTCGCACCATACCCGTATCGCCTGGGAGAGGGGGACCGGAAGGAGAGGGAGGTGATGGGGGGGGGTAAGACATACCATGCCGCCGTTCATAGCCAACCCTAATTGGTGTGCAGGCACGGCCAACGTTCAAGTCAGCTTGCGTTCGTCCGGGCCCAAGTTCAATCTCCCCTTGAGACGGATGTGCACCGAATGAGTATGGATGAGTGCCATTTGCCATTGGGGCGTGGTCTGCTCTGAAGGGCAAGCTGGACTGGACTGCAGGAGATGGACTGTCGCTTCGGGACCGCTTTCTCGACAGACTCATCCTGGGTCGTTGGGCAGAAAGTTAGGTTTGCGCCTAACCCAATCCAACTCCGGACGCAAAAATACATGGTGCCTCTTCATTCGTAGGGGAAACTCGTAGAGCAGCGGAAATAAATAAAACAGTGGAAAAGTATCATGCACATGCAAATGTAAAGGCAATGATGTAGAGCATGGACGCAAGTTCGCCCTAGAGAGCATCAGATCACCTTAAGAGACGTCGACGTCGGAGAGTTGACCTCGATTTACGGCTTAGGCGTTTGGGTTCCACTCTCTCCTGTTCTTCATTCTTCATACGTTCATTCTTCTTTCTTCTTTCTTCAGAACCAGTGAGGGTTTCGGGGAATGAGAGGCGAAGACAAGGGCAAAAACGTTCGATCCAATGCCATACCACTTGATATGGAAAGTTCGCGCCACTTGGTGCAAACATCGACGATTATCATATTTCTATCCTGTCGAGGGTGGAGGACGTAACACGCTTCATCCTCGGCGTTTGTCAACGAGTACAAGGAAGGCATGGGTGCTCAGCGCTGATGGAAAGGTGTGGCTGGGTAGCTTTGCCTCGGAGAGTGTGTCAAGCACAAAGGGGTTCGACGACGCACAGTTGCTTTGATTCGACAGCACCGAAGCATTCTCGTCACGCCTGTGAGCATCTGCACATGCGTCTCTGGCAAAGTCCACGACAATAAAAAATTCATCCCGCAGATCGCGAGGCGGGTGTTTCCACAAGCCGTCGAGGGCACAGACAGGCCCCGATCGCCCTCCGAACAGGGACTCGAATATGTGCGCTGGATGCGTCGTCTCTCAACTCTCTCAACTCTCTCAACGTGCTAGTGCTGCGCAACTGCCAGGCTGCTTGCGAGAGCTTACTTGTACATGCTCCCAAGTCAAGTGCCTGACGCGGAATGTTGATGTGCAGAAGCACATACCCGCAAGCGCGACTGGCGTTGAGCAAGCCTGCAAGACCAAGAACCCATGAGCGAAGGATATTCGCAGGTTTATCAGGAAGATTCCTGGCCTTCTCTCATCCACCGGCTGGAACACGAGGCGCGGTCTAGATGCAGATCGCGTGAGTCAGAGGGGCATCGTTGTCCCGTAGCTTGCTCAGGCAAACGTGCCGACAAACTCATGAATGCGCTCGAGTTGAGTTCCCCTCACTCTGGGAACGCAAGCTGGCAGGCAACAATGCCAACGAGGCCGAGGCAAGTGCATGGCTTGACTGTTTTGCAGGGCGAGGGGACGAAGCGGATACTCTTCCGAAGAATTCGAAAGTGAGGGGAGGCATTGAGTATCACGCACGAAGTCGCTTCACCGCTACCGATCCTCGGATGGGGCCGACGTATGCATTTGCAATTTGCAAGAGCAACGTGGAGCTCGAAAATCCGCCGAAAGAAATGTGGGTGGGCATTACCACGTCCTCTCGTATGCACGTTCCAATAACTGGTCTGTGAAGAAACGAAGGATTTTTCCCCCTTCTAGGTTTTTCTCTTTTTTTTCTTTTTTTTTTTTTTTTTTCTTTCCCCTTTCTTGATCTGGATTTTCTCTTCCCCGTGTAAAGTTGAGGGTGGCAGGAAAAAAGGAACCAATCTAAATGGCCAACCAAGAACTGGTTTGCCGACCTCTTCGGTGCGTGCTCCTCCACGAGCGCGGAGATGGCGAAGCAGAGAAGTGTCTGGGGAGGAAACTTCAAACCACTGGAGGTGACCCCGAAACGTGTTCGAACTGGATATGGAGTGCCTTGGTTTGATCATTTCGGTCACGACAAATGACGGAGACTTGACATTGGCGGTGACTGGGCGCCTCAGACAAGAGACCACCCTTTCCCCCTCACGATTGAGGAGGAGGAGAGCCAGGATGCATGATGCGTTGGCATTGCAGGTCGCTTTTCCCATCGGCCTTGGCTGGTCTGACCAAAAGCACGCATGGCGATAGGCTCAATCTCACCCCGCCCCATGCGTCCCCCTCTTTTCTGTGCCAATTTGAGCACGGAAGAGGATATGTTGGCCAGCTGGCTTTGTTTTTGTCGCGGATTGCGCTTGATGCCAGCCTATGATTCTCCTAGGCGAACAAGAAGAAGTCGGCGGAAGGGGGTCTCGACAGATGTGACGGCCAGTTTCCGAGGCCATTCACAATCAACCCCCACCAGTCACTCTGGTGGCTGCAGCACTAGGGCTTGGCTCTTTGGTGGAAGCCCGCTTGATCCCTGGCCGGAAAGCTCAATCATACGCCGTGGGACATGGTCCGAGGGGGTTCCATATCTGTGTGGTAGATCACAATCACGCTGCATTGATGAGATGGCAGGATGAGCTGGCCAAGGCGGCGCGGGAGCAGCGAATGGAGACTAGGAAAATTATCTTCCAGCTTCCGGCTCTTTCATTTCGGTTTTCCTTCCTGTCGGCTGATTGTTGCAGGGCAAGGGGGTGTCGAAAGTCGACCATTGCTCGTTTCCCGGTGGCATTTAAAATAGTCAACAGCCCCCTCATCCGACCAACATTGCTCTTTCCCTCGATTCTCTCTGCCCAACTAAACATATATTCCTGCCCAACTACCAGCTTTTGTCCAGTCACGAAGCGCTCTCTTCCAGCCCACTTCTTGATAGGTTGCACTTCCAATCCTACTTCTGCCCCTTGACAATAATCCTTCTTCCTTGGACCCGCTTCCCTGTTTCTATTTCATCATCCGTTCCTTCCACCCAGCCGCTCCGGACTACACCTCTTCTCTTTCCCCAACACCCATCACCAACTTCCACAACACGCTTTGGATTCCAGGAGACCAACTCGTGTTGCTTTTGAACGAATCTTTCAGCAACTGGTTGCATCAGATATAAACTCGTCTGACTATACCAGCTTTCGGAGCCGTGCATTTGTCCCACTGGAACTACCAAGACTGGCCACTTAAACAGGATCCGTTTTCGTTTCTCTTCAAACATGCCGGGCTTTAACCATCAGATTGACGAAGTCAGCTCACCTTCTAGGTATTGTTTTTCTATTCTTTCACGTCCTGGGAGGCCGCTTTTGCTTTTTCGAATTTCCTTCTGTCTTTATCATGTTTGTGCTCAAGTCTTGTCTTTCCTTATTCTTTTTTTTTTCTTCTTTCCACCTCACGCCAGCCCTGGCGCATCTTACTGTATCAGTCAGTCGAGGCAGGCCAATTCTTCCGGATTCAGGATACATGGATATACCCAAGGAAACCAGAGGACTCTATTTTTCTTATTTTGGAACCCAATGTCCAGCCGGGCATTAGCTGAAGTATGCGTCTGCGTCTTCATGCTGGAACTTGAAAAAGAAAAAAATCATATTTGATCTCAAAGGTAGGTATCAAACGACACACACACCGGACTTCCTGTTTCTTGCGCTTGTTTTGTCTTCGCCTTGCCAAGGGTTTCCCCTAAGCCATCTCTGCGGAATGCACTCCTGAATTGAGGACCTGCTTTGGCCGCAGTTGGAGAACGACTTAGATCCAAGGATACACGCCGAATACCGGAGTCAAGTGTAGTCGACCCGCTGGGTTGGACTGCTCTTACTGAACGCATCATAACCACTTCCAGGATCTTGTCTCAGTGCCAACGTACCTTGGGTGCTTGGACTAGACATCTGCAGTTTAAATTGATTGCATCGTGCGACCGCACTTGGAAATTTTCTAGCCTTGGATTTACACGACCCATACATGGATCTACAACTTGGAGAACAACTTTTTTGGGCCTTAGAACCGATCAATGGATCTTGATCGGTTCAGTCTCGACAATGTTATTAGTTTTGCTTCTTGGCCGTTTTTCTTTACCTTCTTCACGGATTTGGCTCTTTCGACATCTAATCACACTAGCAACCATCAGCAGCCTTAACATGGCGAGAATAATCTCATCTGGATCTTGAACGCTTCACCTCCTGGAACCGGACCCTAACAACATGCCAACCTTTTTGTTTTCCTTTTTTTCTGAGCTCAGCATCTTGATCAAGTGGCCGTTTTCCCGTGGGACCCTGGTTTACAAACGACCATTGAACGACAAGCCTAGAAGGAGCCGCCACAAGCCCAGCCCCTTTATTCGGAACCCTTGGATCAATTTCTATGCCTACTGCCTCGGACTGTAAAGTGATGACTTGCCTGGCTTCGCGCAAACTCATTACACTCACTGGTTTGTGTCCCAACTCGCTCCTTAAAACCCATGTGATATGTGAACTAACATTTGGCCTTAACAGAATCAAGTTGCTTCAGCTGGAAGAAGTTCTTCCTTTCCCGTCTCTTTCACAACACATTTCTTGCAGTTTTATGTCGCATTTCTTTTTTCCTTTTTCTTCTTTTTTACTATGTCTACAAAAAAATGAACTGGCTCACCGAGTACCAGCAAAGCAAGGTAGTGGAGAAACAGGACACTAACCTCGATGATCCGCAGTGACTTCAGCAGTTTTGGCATGAACCTGACTGCTTCTGAGATGTACTCTCTCGGACCAGCTGGCCCCTCGGACCACCTAAGTTCCCCGTGGGTTGGTATGGGAGATGTACAACAACACCTGAGTGACTTCCCTGGACACACTCAGGGTGTCGATGCGGAGGACTACCCTCTTGCTACCTATGGAGCCCCCACACCTCATGGAACCGAGATGGATTTTGCCGAGGAACTCCGGAAACAATGCGCATCCCCCATCAAGAGGTTACAGTCCCGCAGCCCTGGCATGGCCTCGAAGAGGAGGTTAACAAAGTCCTCTGCCATCACCAAGCCGCCAAGGCTGGCGCCTGCCCCAACCTCATCAAGAGTCCCAACTTTGGGTTTGACAGAAAACAATGGCCTCGCTTTCCAAGGCACAGGGAGCCAGTTTTTGGATGTGAACCAACCCCTTTTCCAAGACGCAGAGCAGACCGACAACCTCTCCGGCCAGATGTACTTTCAGTCCATGGCTTCCCTCGACCTTGACATAAACTCTAGCATCCCCTTTGGCGAGATCACCCCCATGCACGTGGATCCCACCCACATGCAACTAGATCCTGACAATGCTAGTCTTACTGCCACCTCCAGTCCCCACTCCTGGACTGCTACTTTTACCCCTCCCCAATCCCCCAACGCCGACGAGGCCTGGTATCAGGCTTCTCTCGCGTCTTCCGAGAGCGCGGGGTCCTCGCCCGAGGGCTATGGCATGGGCCAAACCTACTCGCTCGGTCAGGATCTCGGTATCCAGGGGCTTGCTTCTGGTGATATGACCACCATCGGCCACGATGACGCGTTCGCCGTCTCTAATGGCGCATCGCGTCGGCCCAAATTTGAAGGGGAGACTGCAAGGGACCACCACCTCTACAAGACTGCGGTCCCCAAATCTGATGGCCTTTTCCACTGCCCGTGGGAGGGTACCCAGGATTGCCACCACAAGCCCGAGAAGCTGAAGTGCAACTATGAGTAAGACGGAAGAAACAATGCTTTCAAACCAGCCCATGTACTAACGATCGTATTCAGCAAATTCGTCGACTCTCACCTCAGACCCTACCGCTGCAAGGTTGATTCCTGCGCCGATGCGCGCTTCTCTTCTACAGCTTGCCTGCTTCGCCATGAGCGCGAGGCCCACAGGATGCATGGTCACCAGGCCTATAACTGCACCTATGCGGGCTGCGAGCGCTCCCTCGATGGTAAAGGGTTCCCTCGGGCCTGGAATCTCAAGGATCACATGAGGCGTGTGCACAACGACAATGGCGTCGGCCCCATTGCTGGATCCCAGCAGCGCGGAGGCGTCGTCGAAGATCAAGCCAAGGCGCGGAGGAAGAGCAAGTCATCGCCCGTGTCTTCCGCTGGAATCCGCAAGTCGTCCAAGGCAATGGCCGCAGACGTAGAAACCGACCGCTTGCAGCAGGCATTGCTCGAGTGGGACGACCATCACAAGAACCTCCAGGCCACCGTGCAGCATCTTGGAAAGGCTAACGAGGCCGAAACCCGCAAGCAAATGAAGAAGGCCCAGAAGCTCCTAGATCAGTTGGTGACTGCCTATGAACGCGTGAACACCGAGCCTTCTGCTTCTCGTCGACGCTCCCACGGAGATTGAATGGGCTGTAAGTTTGCCTCCCACTCGGAGCCCTAAAAATTGCGGTTTCTAACACACATGCCAGATGTCCAGATGGAGATGAAGAGGTCGTGAGACACCACCGAGCGACCCGGACACCCCACCCCACCCTTGCATCACGCTGCAAGTGCAGCGAGATTGCTTCCTGCTTCGCTAGATATTTGCGTCCAACAGTTGCTTGGTCTCATGTATTCGAACAGGTCAGGATCCCAAGGGCGCAAATTTACGCTGTGGAAGCGATGATGCTTCCGCAGGCAAAAGCCCACAGAAAACAAAACAAATGGAAAAAAATCCACTCCTATCCGGTCGCTCAGTCCTTTCTAGCTCGACTATTTTTCTCTTGGGAGGTTCTTTTTTTCTTCTTTTTTTCATCTCGATTACTTGGGAATCTTGAATACCGAGATGCCAGGCCTCCATCCCGATGGGATATAAACTCCGCCCTCCTTCTAGGCATTTCCTAGAGGAGGGTCGGAGGGCCGGTGGCCTAGAGTCGCCCTCGAATCCCTTCCCACCCGGAAGGCTCGAACGATGCTTGGTACTCATACTTACCAATTCCGTTCTTTCTGCCCAACAGGCAGGCCTGACGACAAAGGGTACTTGGATAAAGGTCCCTTTGTCGTTTGCCTGTCTCATTGAGGCTTCCAAGCACTTGCCACGACGAAACGGGGACGAGGCCCTCGGGCCCTCCAGCCTCGAGCCGTGGTCGCCTCTTATGGCACCATGTGCACACTCTCTTTGCCGCCGAAATGGCCTCCTAGGCGGGCTTGTATCGGTGGGTGTTGTTCTGGGGTGGTCTCTTCTTCTTGACGACACCTCATGAGGCACACTCCCGTTCTCCTGTTCCTTGGGCTGCCATGGCAGACTTTACACGCGCACGGCGCACGCACCTATCTCTCTCTCTTTTGTCCCTTTACTATTTCCATTGTTCATTTCGGTATATTCACGATTCTTCTTTGGCGTGGAGATCTGTCTTATTAGGATTTTTCTAAAGGCTTCCTGTTTCATCAAATCATGTGTCCCAGTCAGAAAAGGAATATTGTTTGGCTCTCTTTGGTTATCATTTTGGAATCGGTTCAGTGCGTACGGACGGAAATAAAGGGTATCTTGCGATAGGGCGAATGCTACATCTGTTTTTTTATTCACAAACCAAGCTTATATTTGACCTTAGTTAAATTGGTCACTGGCGATGCTGGCATCGACACTTCCAACTCTCTATTCTCGTGCATATTCTCGTGCATATTCTCGTGCATATTTAAGGGTAGAGCGTATTGCTCTAGCGAGGTGACTCCCTACAGCGAGGTCAGTCTTTTACAGGTAACCTTGGACTATGGCGAGGCGTGTGCATACGCTTGTGTCTGCGCGTGTGCGTATACAATACGTTTGAAGGCACGTCAATGTAACTCTGAAGCTTACATGTAGATGAATATCTAGGATGGATCCATAGATTGAAGCTCACGAGGTCTATATTTACGAAGTAGGTTGTTGAAATACAAGACGAACGACCGCCCATAAAAATGACAAAAGAATAAAAAGAGATTGAAGGGAAAGAAAGGGTTTTAGACCCAACACCAGGCCCTTATATTTGAGCGAATGTGATGTGCTATGATGTATGCCGATATATCTAATACAGTCCCAAGCCTGAACGAACCGTTTAAAGAGAGTGGTATCTTTGTAGAAAACGCCGGGTTCCGTGACATGCAATGATATGAAATATGTAGAAAAGACGCGAAAAAAAAAAGAAAGCAAAAACTTCCTCCCAGGCATGATTTGCCGTCCCCAGCAAGATGTGCGAGCCCCCAAAAAAGAAAAAAGAAAAAGAAGGAGGATCAAGTGTGCATATACGCTATGGTTGGGGACGTGGAGTGTCTGGAAAAGAAAAGGGGGGTTTCTTTTCGTTTTTTATCACGAGGGTTAATCTCCCCTGATCCCGAGGGATAGTGGCGGTAGAGGCTTGTTGAGATTTACGGGAATGGGAACTTCGCGCACGAAGACGATGGGGACCTCGTGGTCGTGCTCAGTGGCCTTGGAGAAGCCACTTTCCGCGTCGCCGACGAGCCTTTCGCGTGGAGAAGCCTGGGAAGGAGATTGAAGAGGTTCGAAGAAGCGGGGGAGGTAGCGGACGAAGAAAGGTCTCGTCGCGGGTATGGAGACGCATATCTGGGTTTGAGGTAGTTGGGTGAGTAGGGTTGCCTTTGTAGAGAGATGTACACGCAGAGAGAGAGAGAGAGAGAGAGAGAGAGAGAGAGAGAAGGGGGCTGGTTTACTTACGATGCCGAGGAATAGCTCAATGGCACTGGCGAACCAAGAGATCCACGAGTGCCAGGTAAAGTCAAAGTCCGCCGAGGTGGTGGAGATGTACATGAGGACGGTCCTGACGATGCCGGCGAGGCAGGCGAGCCAGCCGGTGGCGAAGAGAGCGATGACGAGGGTGAGCTGGCGGCGAGACAGGGTCTTGGAGCGCAGGATGACAATCATGGGGAGGATGATGACGACAAAGTCCATGGAGGTGTTCCAGATGCCGGCGATGAGGATGCCACGGCTCTCGGTGAGGCAGCGGCGCTGGTCGGCGGGCTTGAAGAACTCCCAGTAGTCGGAGAGGGGTTGGCACTGGCTGAAGAGGAGGATGACGTAAACGATCATGCCGGTGAGGTTGAGGGCGATGAGGAAGACGACGAAGCGGCGGATGCGGGTGGATACGGGGGTGGCGAGGCGGTAGACGAGGGCGAGGACGGAGAGCTTGGTGAATGTGGTGGCGATGTCGAAGAGGGTGAAGCTCACGAGGCTATGGGGGAAACCGTTCGTGTTAGTGGGTGGTGGGGAACTTGGGTCTGTCCCCTTTCTTCCCCTTGGGACCTACTATCCAAAAAAAAAAAAAAAAGAGACTTACCCGAGTTGGAGACCCGTGACAATGTCGTCTTGGGGGATATCCCAAATATGCCTCCCCATCCGTAGCCGTGCTCGACAAAGATGCCGACGATGAGGAAGGCGGTGGCGGTGACGTAGGCGACGGTGATGAGGACATCGTCCCAGCCGACTCTCTGCGAAATATACCTCCGCGTATAGATCCGCAAGATTATTATGATGCTGACGATGGCCCAGAGGATGACGGTGACGATGTCCTTGGCCGGCCCGCGGGTCTCGGGGTTGACGAAATTGGGGGCCGGCCAGGATGCCACTACTTCGGGCGGTGGGGTGCGAGGCATCCCGGCGATAAGAGAAAAAGAGGGGGGAAGGGAATGCGAAGCCGTCTACGGGCTTAGATGGAGCGGGATGGAGCAGGAGTAGATTTGATTATCAGCTGTTGCCGTTCTTGGTGTGGGTTTTTCTTTTATTCTTGCTCTTTTTTGTTGTGCTTCCCTTACTGGACCTTGTGGGATGAGGCGAGTCGGGAAGCCCACCAGTTACGAGATGGGCAGTCTCGCCCAAGGTCCATAGCAGATGGGCGAGGGAGGCAAAGAGAAGAGAAGCCAAAGTTGAGTAGATGAGAAGGGATGAGATGAGATAGGTTGTACAGAAGAAGAGGGACCAAAAAGAAAGAAGAAAGAACAAGTGCAATGGGAGTAAGACGCCTTCGCCTTGGTGCCGATGCTTCGTTCACGAGGAGGAGGAGGGGTCACCTGCGGCTACCATCGACTTACATGAGCAGGAGAACACCTGAAGGCGGCAGGGCCATGGGGAGGAGCTGCGGGCGTCGCGAGGATTATAAAGTGCCGTGGTTCAGGGCGCAACAAAACGACAACCCGAAAGAAGAATGCATATCAATCTCTGCGCAGTGCCGAGGACACCACATCTTTTATCTTGTTTTATTCCCCGGGCTGGCGGGCCCCGCTCTCGACGACTTGACGACGGGCATAGGCGATTTATCCTAGCCCACCTTGACTGACCCTGGGCCATGGCTGGAGGGAGGGTCGGGTCGGTCGAGACCAACCTAGACGGGTCGACTCACACACAGATACAATAGATGGTCCACACATATGCACAAACAACTAGGAAGCGAGTCGCTTGGCGAGAGGCAAAAGGTCAACGGAAGCATTTTCCGGGGTGGCCTATCCCTGCCACTCACGATGTCGTCCTGCCGATCGTGGTTTGTTGTAGATCACCACCACACCTGCCTAGACCCTGGGGGCTGCTTTGCGCGCGCGCCCACACACCCTCCCTGGCACATCTCACGGAGCGGGCCCCCTTCCTATGCTTCGTCCCTGCCCTTTTTCACTGGGGTATTTTTTGCTCTTCTTGGCTCCGACAAAAAAGAAAAAGACTCTGTAAAAGCGCGGCCGTGGTGGTGGATGATAATTTGCAAACGTCCCCCACCTCCTCTTCTCTGCTCTCCTCCTGCCCCCCTGGTCTCCCTTCCCGGAACCTTGTCAAGGATTTTCCGGAGCGCAAGGCAAAGCTTGGGCAACCCTGAGACACTTGGCTCTCGCGCCCACGCTGGACTTTCTCCCCTGGTTCGCGTGGGTCGGGAGCGGGGTTCGTGCTGCACGCTGAAGCGGCGCGCACATTGAGGATTTGGAAACGCAAAGTGGGCGACTCTCAATCTATTTCCATTGAAAAGTGAAAAAGAAACCAGGCATTTTCGGCGAGCCTGCGCGCGGGTGCATGGTCCGGGGTGGTAATCCTTGAGGTGGTTTTTGGAATTCTGTGTGGATTCCCCTCGCTCTGTCTGTGGGCGCGGTCCTACCTGCCGATGCTCCCTTGTTCCCCTCACATTTCCTTCTTGTTCGTGCCTCCCTTTCTCTCTCACACTCTTTGCCCTTTTCTTTTTCCCTCTCCCTTTTTCTTTTCTTTCTTTTTTTTTTCTCGTCGAGTACGAAGTAAATGGATGGCTGCCCGATGATCATTGATCGCCAGTGAATGGGCCAGACAATGAGCATTGATTCTCCTAACTTTGAGAACAGACGCAGCCGCTGATCACCCTCTCTATTTTCCCTCCCAGTCTCACATCCATCCTGCCCCGCCAACCTGTTTCCGCCACAACGTCCGGGCGGCACCACACGGGTTTCCAGAAGAGACAAGTGCACGCCTCTGCGCGCCTCTGCACGCCTCTGCACGCCGAAAGCGCGGGAGTGGAAGAGGCCGGGCAGAGCTAACCGGAGATGGCTGGTCTCTCACCACCACAAACCCACTGACACCACTCATACTCCAGCCAAGGAAAGTAGAAGGGGGACAGAGATAGAAGACACCCGGCCGGCCCTTTGGCCTCTTTTTTCTCTCTCTTCTTTTCTTCAAGCTCGTGTTTTCCCTCTTTAGTGCGTCCGTCCGTGACACCGTTTGAAAAGATCTTCGTGGCTTGCGCTTGGAGCCCAGTGGCTGTTCCACCCCCATTCCCCATCACCCATCTCTTCCGGTCTCAGAGCCGCCACCTCGGGAGCTCCTTTTTGGTGTCTGCGCACTTGTTTTGTTTTGTTCACTTACACACACACCTTTATTTCTTTCTCTTCCACTTGCCTCTCCTCCCTCTCAGCCCCATCATCATCAGCTCATGGGGATTTCAGGTGGGCTTCGGAACAGCCCCTCCCCCGCCAATACCCTTTTCTTCGCCTTGACTCTTTGATGTCTGTTTTCTTCCATCCTGTGCCCCGAGTTGTCCGAGTGATTGTGAGAGCACCTGCATCGGCAGGATCTCCTCCGCCGTTCAGGGGGATTGTTCCGACTAGCCGATTAACCATGAGCGAGCTTTATTTTCATGTTGGGAAGCATATCCGATCCGAGCCTCATGGAGGTCTAAAACGTGAGATCTAGATTGCAGACAAGCGAGACCAAGCATCGAAAGAGGGGAAAGCAAAAAGAAAGAGGGGAGGGGAAGAAAAAAAGGAAAGAAAGCATCATGGTCATATTTTGAGCATTAATGATAAGAAAGTGAAAAAGATCAATCTTCGACAAATGTGCACACATGATCGATGGTTCATGGGCGATCAGTTGGTCAACCGAGATTTCCTGGGACCAGTCGCATCAGGGCGGCATCACTCCCAACTCTCGTAATCTCATCCCGGGCGCGAGCTACGAGAACATTGAACCGATCTGGGGAGACAAGTGGATGCACGAAGGATTTCGTTCCCTGCAGATCTTCAAACGTGCCCGCCGCCGATGTTGGAGGCTCTGAGCTCCCCCACCAAAGGAAGGGAAAAGGAAAGAAAAAAGAGACACAAGAAGAACAAAAAGGTCCCAAAAGAATCGGCCTTCTCTTTTCGGCGACGCAAGCTTAACAAATGAATTAATACTTCCAGTCTGTAGTATGAGCGGTAGCAGCACAGCCAAGGTCGAGCCCGAACAAGCAGTGCGAGTTTGAGGCTTGTCTCTAAAAAGGGCTCGCACAGACGGCGGCTTCTGATTCGCTCTCCTACTGATCCAACTCGATGTCCATCCGGGTAAGTATGCTACCCTCCATCAACCTCATCCCTCCCCCAGCTAGCCCGGGTCGTTGGCTCATTATGCATTGAATGCGCACGGCTCCCTTTCTTGTTTTCTGTTCTCGGTTTGCGCCGTGTCACCGTCCCCGGGGTTGAGACTCTGACCTTGTGGCTGTGCCGCTCCTGGATCAAGCACTCCGCAAGACAGCGACCCTTTTTTTCTTTCTTTTTTTCTTACTCGTCAAAGGGAGAGAGGGGCTTTTGGCTAACTGCTCTCTCGCTCACGCATCCACCATTAGTAGAGGCGAGATATGTCTCCACTATCTCTACCAAGCCATCAGGTGTCATCGATGCTTCCCTAGGACGTAGCCTTGCTTCCTCCCTGGCAGGAACCCTAGCTCTCAACCTCGCCTGCCTGTCTGCCTCCCTCCTGGTAGGCTGGCCGTGAAACGACCATGCCTGCGGGGGCCATGCTTGATTTGGCCAGATTCTTTTGTGGGAGAGAGAAAAGTTCCTGCGGGCACCCACTATCCCTTGAAGTATGTGGATGCCTCGTGTGACATAGTGACGGTAGATTAGGGAGCAAGATGGTCTCAACCCTGGCGGCTCAGCGGAGAAGCGTGCAAATTCTCATCAGTTCAGGACGGGGTGCCTCTTCTTCCCCCACAGACTTGTTGCTTTTCTTCGCAATGCAGGCCTTGCCGAGAGACAAGTGGTTTCTGTTTGGGGGTCCTACTTACCTGCCATTACTAGCTGTATCCGAAACTGAGTGGAGAGAAACCTTTTCTCACCTGCCTCGCTCAAGGTCCAAGAGACGTGAGAGGATGAGAAGCTGTAGTCCCTTGGCGACCGCCACCGAAGGACTCTGATCCCGGTACGTCCCTCATGCGATGACTGTGAACGCTGCTCTCCTTTCTTTCTTCAATCGCCACCCCGCGATGGGGTTCCGAAAGATGACGCAGTTTGCCCCCTCCGTGTCGTTTGGAACTGGGAGCCATGGCGTGTTCGTGATGAAGAATCAAGAAGCTAGCCCCCTTCACCGGCCTGGCCCTATCTGGCCATTTCACGTTCTTGACAGATGCACCATTCCTGGAGAATGCATCAAACTGCAAGCGCCTCTCGGATGCTGTTCCGGAACTTGTAACATACTCCCAAGTCTCGCCTCAAGAGCTTCCCTAACGTCATGTTGTCAACATCCTGTCATCGTAGACGCCCGAGAACGGAAAGAGCAGGGGGTGGGGATGTCCTTTTGTGCTTTGGCTTTTTTGTTTTTCTTTTCTTTTTCTTCCTTTTCAGGGCCCTTTTGGTCTTCCTCTTCCTCTTCCGATTTCGACTCTGGCTTCCTGGCGGCGATATGAGGAAAAAAATAGTGATACAATTCATTCGTGGCTATGTGCGTTGCCGTTATTGTTACAAATCCGTATCGATCCGGGTTCCAGTCTCTACCTCGCCCTCCCCCATGTTTCTCGCCTCCTTTTCCTCTCGCGGTCCCTCGCGGTCCTCAATCTCCTTAAACCGTCGTGTTCGCACCGTGGAAGGGACTCCAGACGCCCCTTACGCTAGGGTTGATACTCGAGACTGGCTTGGTCACCTTCTTGACCTTTTCGCCATTGGCATCCCGCAGAAGCTCCGCCTTCTGGAGTACTTGTAGAGGCTCCATGTTTCGCACGCACACGGGCTTGTTCCGTCCATTGATATAGTGTCCGACGATGACGGGGTGCTTTCCCGGCCGGGGAGATACTGTAATTTCAATCTCGGGATTCTCGGCCGCGAACTTGGTGAGGTGGGACTTGATGAAACCGCTATTCAACACAGAGTTAGACTTGCTTTGTTTGGCTTGGCCGTCGCGGCTTCGGGGGAGGGGACAGTCCCCAAGGTCGCGAGGAAAGGGAGGGACTGCGCTGCTGCCGCTGGGGGAGAGGGGGTTTTCTTACTTCATTCCTTTGGAGCTCCCCGCCCAGTCGCAGTAGTGGAAATCAAGTTTTCTGCATTGTAGAATGAACGCTCCGAGGCCGTTCTGCAAGACCATCTAGGTTAGCCTCTTGTTTTTTTCGTTCTATTTTGGAGCCAGCACGGCCAAAAGGGGGTAGGCTGGCGAAATTCGCAAAAGAGAAAGGGTTGCGCCTTACCCGGCCAGCTGCTATCCTCCTCAATCCGACGGGCATTGTGTCTTTTGTGTGTCGTCGTTCTCTTTCCCGCCAATCTATATTTCCGTATGTTTCGCTTCCGTCGCCGTGGGAATCGTTGATGGAAGGTCGACGTCGAGGGTTGGGCGTGGTTCTCGTCGTTGTCGTTGTAGACGTTTGCTCGGTCGATTGGCAAGATTTCTCCCAACACGGATTGTCGCGTGGGAAATTTTTGGCTGAAGGAAGGAGTGTATGTGTGGCGCGTGCGTGGCGCACAGTCGTACTAGCCACAATCACGCATGGAACCAGGCGCTCACCTCGCAGTAAAATACACTGGGGGCTTTTGTTTTTGGATCCTAGAGTTGAGCTTGAGAAGCTGTCGCCGCTGCTGTCAGCCCAAGGCCACTCGGACTACAACTAACACATACATCATCATCCTTGGTTTACAGTCACATTGGCCAAACATTTGCGTTTACCCATAGCAAAGCGTATTATTTATTCATCAGGCTTTTTTCTCCCTCTTGTTTCTAAAACTCGGGTACGGGCTTCGAATTTCAAGCATTCATTGCCAGCGGGAAACCCCCACACCAACTGGTCTCAGCAGTTAGGTTGGCGACGTGCGCCTGTTTACAACCTGCAGTTGATGATGTCGACGAAGGCGGGCTTGAGGGAGGCACCGCCGACGAGGAAGCCGTCGATATCGGGCTGCTTGCTGAGATCGCCGCAGTTCTTCTCGGTAACGCTGCCGCCGTAGAGGATACGGGTCTCCTCGGCGACCTTGTCGCTGACCTCCTTCTTGAGCCAGGCGCGGATGGCGGCGTGCACCTCCTGAGCCTGCTCGGTGGTGGCGACCTTGCCAGTGCCAATGGCCCAGATGGGCTCGTAGGCGATGACAATCTGAGACCAGTCTGACGTCTGGGACTTGAGGGCAGCGAGCTGCTTGCTGACGACGTCGATGGTCTTGCCAGCCTCACGCTCCTCGAGGCTCTCACCACAGCACCAGATGACGCCGACGCCGCCCTCGGTGGCGAACTTGGTCTTGGAGGAGACAACGGCGTCGGACTCGCCGAGGATGGTGCGGCGCTCCGAGTGACCGAGGATGGTCCAGTTGATGTTGGCGTCCTTGAGCTGCGAGACGCTGATCTCACCGGTGAAGGCGCCGTTGGGCTTGTCGTAGACGTTCTGGGCGGCGACCTCGATCTCCTTGCGGAGGGTGTCGCGGACCTGGAGGAGGTAGAGCGCGGGGGCGCGACGACGACCTCTGCGTTGCTCGAATGTCAGCCCCGGTGTTTCTATAAAACGCCCTCTTCCAGAGGCAAAAAGGGAATGTGCCCCTATTCGGCCCCCGATAGTCGCAGAAACTAAGCTTGCGAGAAGGATTGAGGAATACGTACCGACGTTGCTGTCGAGCTTGGCGCTGTTCAGGTTGTTGACAATCTCCTTGATGGACGACACGGTGCCATTCCTACAAAGGACGAGCTTTGGTTAGCTGCTTCACGGACACGTAAATTATCGAGCTTTGCCTTAGCTGCTCGTATCTTTGGTTTGCCTGCATGGTTCTGTTTTTTTCTCTTCGCCCAACTGGTGATGGTGGGGTTGTTGCCAATGGGGGTGCGGGGTTGCTGCCAGAGCAAGAAAAGAGCTTACATCTTGAAGTTACCACCGACGAAGAACTTGCGAGCCATGGTTGCGATGGGTATATAATGAAGAGTTTTGGTATAGGGGTATATTGGAAAGAATAATGAATTGGGGGAAAAGTTCAGTAAGTCAAGCCAAGAAAGAATTTGAAAAAAGAGCAAAAGTTGAGAGGGATGGGAGAAGGTTGTGGAACTGCGGGTTTTGATTCCGGACAAGTTTTGAGCTGATGAGCTCACTGCTCCCCCAATACTTCTTGTTGTACCTGACCCAACCGGTCCTCTCCCGCCCGAGCTCCACGAAAATAAATCGCCTGATGAATACCCAGCTGAAGCCGCGGGTGTAGACCGGCCTTGGTTATACTGTAGCCACAAAGTCCCGTTGACACTGTTTACCATTGACTTTTGAAAAACATTTTCCTTTTTCTCATCACTTGTGCCTCTGTCATTGAAAAGCTCACAATATGTGTTGAATTCATCGTGATCTATCTGGATGTTTTGAAGATTGACTGGCACCACCCATAAAGTCTAGGGACTTAGGACGAGTCACAGCTTGGAGCTCACGGTGCAGGACTGGCTTATCTCTACCAGTTTCACTGCTTAAATAGAGCTCTGAGGTGGCTATCTAAGCTTGAAACCACCCCATGCACACGCAAGCTAGGGATGGATTGAATCAATGTCCCTCCCCAGGTGAAGAAGAAAAAAAAAAAGAGAGAAAAAGCCTCAAGCTCTACGCTTTATCATACAAGCTGTGCAAAAGAGAGATTCGACTTCCAATTATGTGAGGTCATATTATTAGGCCCCTCTTTGGTGAGGAATTGTGGCGTTCCGAACTCAACCTCGGTGCTCATGTTACAGAAGCGAACAAGTTGAGGCTTGAATGACTAATCATAAAATCATTCTGTGATGCTCCACAAGGGAGAGCTCTGAACAAGCACGGTATTAAGTCGGATAAATTGGGTATGGTCCGAACAGCCCTGGCGTGGCTTCCGCAGGCAGCCTCGATCTTTCTGATCAATCTGCCGGAGCTTCGTGTCAAATTTCTGTCACCAAAATCATTATCGCGACTTGCCCGTCAAGTCATCCATCCACCCCCTGCCGCCGAGCCCGCCTCCTGTATCCGACCTCGCCATCTACCCCATCTGCTTCGAACCCCGGGATTGAATCGACACGCTTATTCTTTTGGGGATGCGCGGCGGGCACAACAATGACTGACAAACTCCCCCAATCTCCTCGCGCTCTTCGCGCCGCGACCACCCTTGCGATATCTCACGCCTCCCGACCATGCTCCCGAGAAGCGCAGAACCCAGGCCATCTCCGGGCTCGCCGCGTTTCTCCCCGCGTTGCAGGCCTACAAGGAGACGGACGTGTATGAGCCGACGGAGAGTTGGCTGGAGATGAGGGATCGCAAGAAGCTGGAACGTCAGAAAGATTTTGAGGCGCTTGCGACTGATGCTCCCAAAAATTGTGAGATCTCTTTGCCTCACCCACCCTTTTTCCCTCTGGTTCACGTTGTTTTTCTCGGCTCTTGCAAATGAATGATGTTAGCTAACGCGACTTCTGCTACAGTCAAGCCCAACGAGGATCCTAACGTCCGAGGTGACCCGTTCAAGACTTTGATTGTCGCACGACTCAGCTATGATGCAAAGGAACAAGACTTGGAGAGGGAGTTTGCCAGGTTCGGTCCCATTGAGAGGGTATGTTGATTCTCAAAACCACTCCTTCTTCACCCGGCTCTTCCGCAAGGGACACACTAAAGGCGCATACTAACTCGTGATTGCGGCGCAGATTCGAATCGTCACAGATAGCCATTCCCACCTACACCCCAAGAAAAAGAAGAAGCCTCACAAGGGTTATGCATTTGTGGTATTTGAACGAGAGCGAGATATGAGAGGTAAACTATAACCCCCGCTCCCCTATTTCCTTCTCCATTCACCCCAAGGTTATCATGTTGGTTCGCCGCGGATGCGGATATAACAGATCTGGTTGCATCCCAGGCTGCAGTTAGGCAATGCCTAGCTTCAGGAATACCGCGTGTGCCGCATTAATCACAAACCTTACCCCCTTGGTCAACAGCCGTTTCAACGTTATATTTCAGCTTGAGAATAAACTAACGCGTGCGCCCTTGGCGCACTCACCGGCAGCGGCGCTAGAGGCGTGTGACGGCATTCGTATCCGAGACCGACGTATCAAGGTAGACGTTGAGAGGGGTCGAACCGTAAAAGGCTGGAAGCCCAGGAGACTCGGTGGCGGGCTTGGCGGACGAGGCCACACCAAAGCAATGCCTGCGCGCCCTGTAGGCCCCGGAGGTTTCGTTGGCGGCGGCTATAGGGGTGGCTTCCGCGGCGGATTTGATGGTGGCAGGGGCAGGGGAGGCTTCCGTGGCGGAGGCGGTGGTGGTTTCCGAGGCGGTGGTGGTGGCGGCTTCCGCGGAGGAGACCGAGGTGGTGACCGAGGTGGTGACCGAGGCGGTGACCGAGGCGGTGACCGAGGCGGTGATCGGGGTGGTGATCGCGGCGACCGTGGCGACCGCGGCTCTAACGGTTATGGCGCTCCTAGCAATGCACCATCGGGCCCTGGCTCGGGCTATGGTGGACGAGGCGGTGGTGGCTTCGGAGGCGATCGAAACCAAGGTGGTGGGTATGACTCACGTGGTTCCGGACGCTCATTTGATGACAGATCCGGCGGTGGTTTCCGCGATCGGCACGAAAGAGAACCTCGGCGTACTGGGAGCAACATGGAACCGATACGACCCAGAGAACGGGAAAATGGTGGGTATCGCGAACGTGACAGGGACTACGACCGGCCACGCGATGATGACAGGAAACGCCACTACGATGGCGGCAATAACTACGATGAACCCAGGAAGATTCGCCGCTACTAGTCACATTATTGGCTTTGGTTTCATTGTCCTCTGGCTTTGAGTGGTGGGTTCATCATCTGAAGCCCGACTTACAATAACGGGAAGCAAAACAAGCAAACCAGACACCCTTGCCGCTATTTTTTTCACCGTCTTTTTCTCTCGCCTTTCCGCGACGAGGGTAAGCAGGAGGTGTTGCGAGAAAAATCTTGTTCTTTTCTCTCAAAGCGCTTCGGCCTTGTATTTTTCCCTCTCTCTTCTCTCTCTTCCCCCACACTTCTTCAGATTCATCTCCCACACGGGCCCTGTGGCTTCCAACATCGGCAGCTAGCCTCGGCCGACACTCGAAAATCTTCATGCGACCACCCCAAGCGATTGATGGTATCCAAACTCCGCTCCAGAACTAATATCCAAGCCGTTCAAACCGGTGATGCGGGTTAGAAGCAGTTCCTACTTGAACCCTCTCGCGTTATCATCTGATGAAGCAGGATATCGTCTGGTTCAGGTAAACAACGACCGACGTCCTTTTTTTTCTTTTTCGTTTTTGTTTCTATCCGGTTTTTTTTTGTCTTCCACCCTGTATTATTGTGTTCGCGGGCACGTGCAAGTCCGGCGATACCTCGCCTTACCACGCTCAGTCGAACGAGGAAATGAAGAAGAGAATGAGGGGTGTGGGTAAGAAAGAAGTCCCTCAAAAAACGAAACATGTATCTACAGGTAAGGGCATAGGTAAGGAAGACATTCTACGCCTACTGGCCTAAAGGGGAGAGCGTAGCCGCATAGCGTATTAGTAGCAGGAGAAAACAAAGGCCATGGTAGGTCCTATCCAAGCATACGGAAGGGAGAGCGGTGCGTAATGTACGTGATATCTTAGCTTTGGAATGTATAACTACGATGCAGAGATGAAGATCCAATCCCGTTCTCCCCCTTAAAAGGTGCATGGGATCATGATAGAGGCGCGATGTCAGTTTGATACCGCTCTATCGAAATAACTCGGAGAATCACAGTGATTGTCACGCTGATCCGAGCATCAACAGCCGTGTTGCATGACTTCAGCGTAAGGAACACGCATACACACAGCATGTCACCAGACACCAGACACCGTGCACGCAGAGAGGAAGTGAGATTGTGCGTCACAAGTTTCTTCTTTTTATCCTTGAGAGATCATCATTCTTGTTGAGACGGAAACATGAAAGCCCAAATCCACCAACGCCTGAGTTGATTTTCGAAGTTGTGTTTTTGTCGGAAAAGCCAGCCATTGCAAAGAAAAACAAAATACCCTGATGCCGAAACCTTTGGTATCCCATCAATCTGTCCAGGTGCGCTCATGAAGAAAAGAAGATACGAACAGCGAAGCACTAGCCAAAGCCTCGGAGCTATTGGCGTGTAGCACGATTGACACCTCGTAGGCTGTTGCTGCCACAATCGTCGTTGCTACCACCTAGTCGATTCGTTGCGAGAAGCATATCAAGCCCATCATGTGCGTCTAGATAATAATAATAAAAAAGGCCCGAGGATTCCGCAATCCCATCTCGAACGACCGTCAGGCCGTTTTGATTCTTTTTTCTCCACCTGTCTTTGAGCTGTGCTTACTCTGCTTGCTCCATGGCGTCACCCTCTTCCGCTTCTACGACTGTGACTTGGCCGCTGGATGAGGTCCAGTAACTGAAAGGACAAAGGGGGTAAAAGTCAGCCAAAAGTACAAAACGACGAAGAGAGGCAACCACCGGCGTCCCTTCAGCCCTGAAATAGAGATTGGGAAATGGGGAAGTACGGAAAAGGAAACCCCGAAAAAAAAAACAGAAAGGGGGAGGAAGGAAAAGAAACTTACGCCCGAATCTTGACGCTAAACTCGCTCATGCAGACGCTAAAGAGCTTGAGCAGCCTCGTCTGCCTCGAGTCGAGGGTCTCACCCTCCTTGCAGACGGTGTAGCCCTCGCCCTCGCCGCTCTCTTCGCCGAGGACGACCTTGCCCTTGATCATGCGGGTGGGGATGCCGAGCCTGCGCAGCTCGGGCTCGATGCTGTGCTCGAGGGGCACGTCGTACTCGGCGGGGACCTCGCCACCGGTGGCGTAGACGACGCCCGGGGATGACGAAGCCGCGCGGGGCGACGGTGCCGGCGCGGGCAAAGTCCACCGAGTTGAGGGAGGCGAAGTAGGCGCCCACGTCCTCGGGGACCGGTTGGTGAAGAGAAGGCCGACCTGGCCGGCGATGTGGGGGCGAGGGCGTCGACGCCGTCGGCTTGGGCTTCGGCTGGGGTCTGGCCGAGGGCCTTGGACATGAGCTTGGTCTTGCCGAAGAAGATTCTGCGGATGGGTGGGAGCCGAGGGGGACGGCCGAGAGGTTAGAATCAGGATTACAAAGAGAATTGTTGTTTTAAAAGATTCTTCTTCTTCTTCTTCTTTCCACAAGAGCTGGGCGAGTTTTCTCCTCGCTCGTCCACATAAAAAGGCGAGTTGAGAAGAACGAAGATGAAGGGGGAAGGGATGCAACTCACTTGCTGTCAGACAACTCTTGCCTCAGGCTCTGCAGGTGGGTGTTCCTCGTGTTCTCGACGCTGAAGACGAAGCAGTACATGTACTCTCCGAGAGCCTCCCTGACATTGTCAAAGAGCTTGTCCTTGTGCTCGCGACCCTTCTTCTGCACCTGGGTCAGGTGCACGAGCCTCGCCCTCTTCGACTTGGGCATCCTGGCGACGGTGTGGTGGTGGTGGTGGTGGTGGTGAAGAGTGGTGGAGAGGTGGTGAGGAAAAGGGTGTGCGTGCGCTGGTTGCGAAGATTTTCAGTCTCCGCCCGGCAGCCTTTCAACGTCCGCTTTATAGTCCGGGGAGGAAGGGGAGGGAAGGCAACGAAGAGCCTTACTGCGGATTCCCGGTCCTACGTGCCAAAACCAAGAGTTTCTCGTCTTCCTTTTGGCGATGTTTCGGCAAGTGGCTTCGATTCCGGCTCGTAGATGGCAGAGCGGGGGTGTTGAGAGTTCACAATCGGCACGAAACCTCTGGAGTGGACTAGATTCTCTCAAAGGCGGTGATCGTTGATGGGGACTATTCTTTTCCCAATTTTCCTTTTTTTTTTTTTTTCTTCCTCTCTCGACCGCCCAAATTTTTTTCGAGGGGCATTTTTCGACTAAACTTGGTGGGGGAGGGTGAATGTTCTGGATATGGGAGAGGGGTGCACCCAGCAGTCTTCCGGCTCCCACATGGTTTAGCCGTGGATTTTGCGGGGTTATAAGAACAACCAGAGCCTGACGAGTTTTGATAGACGGTATCGATGACCTCCCAGCGTATTCAGTAGATCCGTCTGTAGAAATAAATCATCATCATATTATAACCTTGAGCAGTACTAAACCCGAGAAAAGATTTGCAAGAAAAAGTTCATCCCGCCCCATTCCGTGTCCCAGGAGTGTTGAACACCTTTGCTTCCCGTCCAAATTCCCTAACCTAAACCAGGCTCCGACTTGCTCCCATTTACAGCCCCTCAAAAACGAAGCTGCCGCCTTAAACACAAGTTGACATTCCGGCCCTTTCCTAATCCACGCCTCATGTACCATATTGAACCCACAACATATCTTTAATTACCCATAGCTTCTGAGATGGCCCCCAACGACAAGTAAAAAAGCATCCGAGCGCGAGAGAAAAGAAAGAATCAAGGAAATAGGAGAGAAAAGGAAAGAAGAAACCAAACAAAACGCCCCGATATTTCCCTGTTATCCGGTTGGAGATACCCCGTCTCTTGTTTTTCATCCCCCTTGCCTTTTGTCCATATATTGCCTTGCGCTGTCGTGTTCAGTCATTATATCTGGACTATGTCCGTCCGCGGCCGGTGCTCGGCGCCGAGGCCATATGGAAAAGAATATGGCCCGGCAAGGATAAGCCCGGTCCGCAACAGTAGTGTTATTGTCCGGCGATGCCGTGTAAACTCTCAATCTCGCTCATAATCGTCTCATCCGTTGCGATTGCCGTGATAACTTCACCTTGCGTGAGCCCTTGCCAGAAAGATGGCTCGACTTGCCGCGCCTTCTTCACGCGGTATATATCCTGTGCCACTCCTCGGACCTGGCTAGCCGCGGTGCTAGCCGCCAGCCACACCTTTCCTAGCTGGTCCAAGGCCCCGATATTGAGTCGAATTAGTTGCCGCAAATCATCCTCGTCCTGAGGGCCAAGCAGCCATTGCGCCCACCGGCTGAGGTGCACAATGGAAGAAACCGACACCACGCAGATAAAAAGTGCGTATGCGAGAGAATGGGCGCTCGGTGCGTAATCATGCGGCTAATGTCTGCTGCCGACGACAACGTATGTTGGGTGTGTATGTTGAAGGCGGGGCCGCCCGCTACCGCTCTGTGCGGCGTGCAGGCCGTGACGCTTCTTGCGGGGGAAGAATCAAGCTGTGAGTGAGGTTGGTGCAAAAGAATGGATGTTCTATCAACCAGCCGAAAGGGGGTTGTTTGAGGTCGCGAGTCAGCCTTCTCTCTCTCGACACCTACTTGGAACCCCTAGAAAGACACCGCAGAATACCCAGCCAAAGCCTAGGGCAGGCATGGAGGTGGAGGAAGAGGGGGATGGGAGCGGGACTCACGCATGTGTGATCATGTGCGCTTGGAACATCATCTCATCCACTCTACAGTCCTTGTTGAGCGCATCCCTTTTCGATTCGGGCAAGTGCACTCTCCAGTTTGTCAAAATGTTCTCGATTCGCTCTAGGCAATCCGGACTGCTTCCGTAAACCGGCGTGGCTCGCAAAAACGTGCCCAAGTTCCTCGTGGCCAAAATCCGGTACGCAAATGAAGAGAAGGGGCGGTCGTCCCCGGAGAATTCCTTGTTTTCAAGGTCCTCCAAGTATGCCAGTGGCGGGATACCCTTTTTCTCCCACGGTTTGGTTAGTGTTCTGAAAACCTCGACTCTCGACTGTATGCCAAACAAAGGGGCCAGATCCAGATCTGAGGCAAGATGGGACGAGAATGGAGGGAACATCGAGTAAGAGACAAGAAGAAAATGACAAACTTACCCCTGACAAGTACTGATACTCTTCACAAGGCAGAGCCACATCGGCCGGGAAATCGAAGAGCAAGAAGTTCGTATGACGGTGGACTCCAGCAATCATCCCATCCACCACGTAAAGCTCCCACCATGTCCTTCTCCAACTCTCCTCGAGAACAGGGGCCCCTCGGCCGTGAACTGCCGCGAAGTTTCTAGAATTGATACTCAATTGCAACGCAAGGTTCTCAGATTCTGACAAGAGCTGCCTAGCCTTCTCTTGCTCACAGTTTCCATCCAACCCAATGGTCAAGAGTAGGAGAGTTTGTAGCAAGAACCCGTCGCGCGGCGTGGCCGGATCGTACACAAGCCGCAGCGCTTCTTCGAGGTATCTCGCCCTCCACGGGCCCACCTCGATGTACAGAGACCCTATCCATTTGAGAGCCGCAAGAAGAGGGCCGATGCTCCCGTCCTTGGCAACCCGCAGCAGGGCGTTGCTTGGAAGCATAAAGGGGTGCGCTGGATAGAAGTTGTGGTAAAATGACTCAAAACAGCTATCACCTATACTAGGTTCGTGGACCGGTGATGGGACGCCTTCCATGGGTAGAGCTGTTTCCAGAACCATGCTTCCGGGGTCTGCTACCGTCGCGCAAGTGCTATGAAACGGCCTGTAGAGCTGCCCGTTTGAAACAAAGGGAGGAGCGACTCCGGGCTCCGGCAGGACTAGAGGTGGGTGGAGCTGGACACCCCCGGCGTCGGGGGCCTAGGATCAGGATTCCGTCGTCGGGGCTCGCGGGGACAACGCTGATGGATGCTAAAGGATCGCCACCCCTAGATCCTTCTTTTGGGTTCCCTGTGTCTTCTTTGGCTTGTAGCCACGGCGAGAGGCGACGTAAATGCACTCCGAATTACTGCTTGAACATCTTGCACATGGCGTACAACCGTCGCATTTGAGATGCTTAGCCCGCTATAGGGAATCAAGACAAAAAGAAAATTGGCGTGTTAGCATATCTCGAGGTTACAATCGGCCCATAGTGGAAACGACTTCAAGCAGTGATCAGCCGAGCACTTGCTCGCCGTAGGAAGCCTCAAGCCCACCCCCAGGGGCTACCCTAGTGAGTGTCAAGGGCCCAGGGCGAGAGGAGGGTTGGGCTTTGCGGGAGAGGTGCACACGATATTGCGATAGTGCAGGGTGCTCTCAACCTGCTAGCCGAACGCTACGGCCTGACATTTGGCATTCACGTCGTACTATTCTCAGGAGAAGGGAAAATTCGGACATCGGCCACATACGCATGCTAAGCAAGCAGCAGATACAGTGCTCTGCTGGATACGCGTTCCGTCTCTTGTTGTTGACGATGGTGTTCCCGCAGGATCCATCTCGGGACGGACGGGAGTTCTCGGAGGCGAGCCCCGTTACTGCTTGGTGCGAACGGAGAGAATAGTTCCATGTTGGGGAACTCGGGACTCACACCGGCGAGAAGCGGCAAGTGTTGGTGAAACCGGTTCTCCTCCCACCAAGGTGTCGTTAGTGGCAAGACAGCCAGTTCGATGAGCAGCCAGCACTTCTGGTGGCCGGCGAACAGACAGGAGCGGGATCAAGTGAGTAAGTAAGGATGGCCTCAGACTTGGCCGAAAGGAGACTGAAATGCTATCAGTGCGTTTCAGTCAGATAACCCGAAAGTAAACGGGGGAGGGGAGGTGGGAGAGCCAAATAAAAGTAAAACAAGAGGGAAGATTCAGAGGTGAGATCAGAATATCTCGGGGACCATGACAAAGCGGAACTTTCCCGACAGGGGAGTGGATGTTATTATGGGGTGTTCCTGTCTAGTGATCTTCTTAATAGTCCACCCACCCTATTCCACCCTATTCCCCCAAAAGCCCAGTTTATTAGGTTGCTTCCATATGAGTTAGGGTCACTTGTTCCTGATCTCGACAGCACTTCAACTTCTAGGCGCGGAGCCTTGGAAAAAAAAAAAAAAAAAGGCGAGAGAAAAGGAAAGAAAGAATAAAAAGCCCACCAAGGGTGCTATGCGCTTGGATAATTGGGGGCACCCTCAAGAACCCTGCACTTCACGGATTGCCAGCAAGGAAACCCCGGCCGGGCTTGATCCCCTCCAAATGTGTTGCAGAAGCTTGAGAGAAAGATCAGCTTCTCAAGCTTATCATTGCTTCATTCCTTGCCCGCATTCCCTCTTTCCTTCTTCCATGCACTTGCCGCTGGTGGGCCAGAGCCTAGGGAAACCTGACTGGTTGGAGGCAACGCACAACACCAACACCACTATTAAGAAGGGGAAGAGGAAGAGATTTGAAGAGGGGCGTATTGGTTTTCAGGTGGCGCCACTTGAGTTGTCACCGGTTCTATCCAACCAGGCTGTCTCCTTCGAACACGCACCACGAAACCGAGATGGTTGTAAAGGACAGCCAGCTGTTCCGACTCAGAACCTGACCCTTTTTGGAAACAATTCATTGGACCGAAAATAAAAATAAAAATAATAAAAAATAAAAGTATCCGCTAGTTGCCGGCAAAGGGGGCAGAATCCAGCCAAGAAGAAGGTTGTTTGATTGGGTTAGTTGTGAGCGAAACTGTTTGTCGCCAAACGGATCCACTCTAATGAGTATGATTGCTTTTTTATTGTTAGTTGCTCGCTCAGCCCCATCAAGGGGACGAGATCCCGCCGAGGCGAATTCCAAGTTCAGGAGCTAATATCGTATGGCGAGATCCACCCTCCAAGCGCGGCCCACGGTCACTGATATTCTCTGATACCTTGTACGGAAACTAGGCGAGGCTCCCGTGTCCAGGTCTGTGGTATATCCATCACAGAATCTCGCTTCCGCCTCCTTCTTGCCCTTTTCTTCGAATTGCATACCATTCCCAAGTCAGCCATCATGGTGATTCAAGCCACCGCTGCAGTATCCCGCGGCCCGTCGAGGGTTTGAGAGGTGATCTGTTTCTCGGAGCGATGACGGATAGGCTAGGTCGAGGGGGCGGCGTCGAAGGATCGAGCACAATACCTTGCTTCTTACTTTTGCGCCCCTCCTGCAAGGTCTTGTTTTGCTCTTACTCTCGGAAGACGGCTGCAGACAAGACGCCAATGTCCCGTTTCCCGCTTTTCAGTTGCTTGTTCTTGCCATGGCCGCTTGCCTCTATTCGCATGCCTTTGAAACGACGGCGAATCTCAAGAAGAAGCGCAAGAAGGTATCAGCTTAAATCTACACTACTCCAAGGGCGATGTGCGAGGACCTCCGACCTGCCTGCCTATCACCCACTCCATACAGAGTTCGTGCCGCTGCAAGTAACTGTCAGGTCCGTTGCGAGCTTAGTTTACATCAGATCATCCAGGGGGTAGGTAGCACAACGTTTGGTGAGCCATGGGGGAGGGAAAGAACCCCGCGGATGGTGATGCCTCTGCCGCAATGCTTCACCCCACTACATCTGTCTAGGTGGGCTGCGGGTTTGAGGCGAAATAGGTTGTGCCACTTAGTGTGTGTGTGTGTGTGTGTGTGTGTGTGTGTGTGTGTGTGATCTTGGACCCGCGGGCGATGATATGCAACTGGCAGGACTACCGCTTTCGGCCTGGCCGGGGCATCCGAGTGAACATGTGGTGGCGTAGGCCTGGGTGCCACCTCGGCTTCGAAGACAAAGGGCATTGGAGTGGGGTTAAAGCTCAACACATCCATCAGTGAATGTGTGCTTTTGAAAGTACACATAATTCTCTATGGCGAGGAGTGGTACTCGTACAGCGCCTTCACCTTTCTCGACGACGGCATGGCGTAGACCAGGACGTGCAATGAAGGATCATTGCGCACAGGGTGGGTTCGTCTCAAAAATGTCTTCCCACCAACGATTCATAGGTCCCCGTGGTCGCGGTTCCTAGCTGAGCCGCTGCGTTGGGGATCGTGATACCGGGGATGGGCAAAACTAGCCAGAGAACAGCGTTTTCAATTCGAAGGAGAGAAGAGAAAGAACGGCCGCGCTGAGGCCTAGGGGTCGATTCGTGGCTGACAGGCGATCGGGGTGGGGCAGCTGTATGCGCGGTGCGAGGGCGGGCAACAACGAAGTGCGTTCGGGACACTGAAGCTTCAGGCGTGGTCAATGAAAGGCAACACCAGGGGGTGTCAGGATCTAAGACGGGTATGCGGTGGTGCTAACATCCACGTGCGCCAAATGCTGCACTCGCCCGGCACCTTGTGAGCGTGTCGATCCTCTGGCTGAAGACACCGGTTGACTTCTTATTAGTCTAACGTCTCGTCCAGTGTTGTCAGAACAAATCCTCAGTTTCCCCTTGCCCTCCGGTCTCGAGGGCTCGCAGGGCTCTTTCCCGTCCGATTTCCTGCATCCCCGGTTGGATCCTTCCCTCATGCCGGCGCGCAATCGGTGCATGCATCCAGCCTCCACCGGGCTCGCCAAGGTGAGATTGAGGCGCCCTCTCGAGGGGACTAGCTCGATGTATTGGCATGGCTCTTTCTCTTTCATTTCTTTAGCTTGTCTGCCCCCCTGCCAGGGACCCATCGAGGGACGAGAGTGAAAATAGCTACTAACACCATTGTTACTACAAATTGATGATTTTTGGTGTCGGGTTTCAAGGAAGCCGGCTACGCTCAGGGACGATAAGAGGTGTCTAGGGCCCACACCTTACTGGATTAGCGAGGCCGATCACCACGGGGTGATGCAGGACAGGACCATCGGGGTTAAAAAAACAAGCTTCAAGGCTTGTTTGTCACTGCCAATGTGAACATAGCGAACGCAGCTCGCCTTAAAGAGCTCTCTGCTCCTTCCGGTTTAGTGGGGGCAAGGGTTGCTTGCTAATCACGAGCCAACGGGCGTGACGGGAAAGAGCACTCGCCCATAGCCCCATCATTGGACTCCACTGCCAGCCGGTTTCGAAGAGGACGCCCTTTCCACTATCGCTCCTAATCCCGCTCCAGTCTCTCTTGATCAAGGGAAGTATGACCAGTGATAATGGTGGCGCTACGCTTGGGGAATTACTCTCGTGGACTTGTACAACCTAGACGCGTGGGGCTTCGTTGGAAGGACCAATTGGTTTCTAAGAGGACAGAGCGATTGATGCTTCAGGCTTGGCGAGGAGCGAGGAAGGCGTGAACATGAATTATAAGTGGATCAATCATCAATCAGCTCTCATTGCTACAACCTTGAGACTCACGCACCGCGATAACGATCCACACCCGCACTAACGACTCTTTAAAACACGAGGGCCCATTGCTCGAGTGCATGGAAGAACAGTGAACAATTGATCTTTAGGCTGAGCACGCCAATACGGCGAGGGGAGCTTAGGTCCTGAATCCCATCAATTGGTCAATATTGATTCCACCCACACCGCGCGTCGACTTCCACGTAACTCCCGCCGTTACTGATGGGGCTAGCGAGGTATCAATCGATTATTGGAATCTACTTGACCCTTCGAGATGCAGAGCTCAAACCTTCCTACTAGACTTAGCAGGGCTAGCAGCTAGTGGTTGAGAGCAACTCTGGCAGGATGGCCAAGGGCC